AAAAAAAAAAAAAAAATCAAAGTCACCTGCTCCGATAAAAAAGAAAGAAGAAATTATGGTGGAGGTGCCGCGTAACTTTCGGCTGCTGGAGGAGCTCGAGGCGGGTGAGAAGGGAACGGGCTCAAACCAGAACGTCTCCGTTGGTATTAGCGGCACAGACGATATTTACCTGCACGACTGGAACGGCACTATTGTTGGGCCCCCTGGCACCACCTTTGAGAACCGTATTCTCTCTCTAGCCATCTACTGCGATGAGGAGTATCCAAAGAAACCACCACATATACGGTTTATCAGTCGTGTGAATTTGCCATGCGTTAACGCTGATGGCACAGTGGACAAAACAAAGTTTCACCTCTTTAAGAACTGGGAACCCCGCTATACAATGGAGAACTGCCTTGCGGAACTGCGTCGCGAGATGACCCAGTCAGCCAACAAAAAATTGCCCCAACCAGAGGAGGGGTCACGATATTAAGGAAGAAGAAAAAAAAAAAAAAGAAAGAAAATAACATGTAGCAGCAGAAGCAAGAGTAGGAAGACCCTACGACCAGTGTCTTCGATGTTGAGATGGACCATGGAGACAAGGCAGCAATAGCCAGAACATGGAGAAATCAGAAAGTGAGTGAGTATGTGAAAGAGAGAAGGAGAGAAAAGAAAAAAAAGAGAGATGAAGAACAAAGGGATGGGCGGAAGAATCAAAATGGAAAGAAAGCCTAACAAGGAAGAAAAAAAGGAATTATGGGGCAAAAAGAAAAACGCAACAACAAAACAATGAAAGAGAAGGAAGTAGAAAAGAGAACAAGGAAAAAATATATATATATATATATATACATTTGGGGAGGAGTGGAGATCCCGAAAAAAAAAAAAACTGATCGAGATCTGCGGGAGTGATAGTAGCTTATAGTGTTAGTGCAGGTACATGTCCCGTTTCCTTTTTTCCCCCTTCCCCTAATCCTGGAGATGTTCCGTTCCCCTTTCCATCCACCTATTTTTATGTCAAGTGCTGTTTCATGAACAGGGAGATCAGTGAAGACGCCTACACTCTTTTTTTCTTTTAAACTATTTCTTTGATCCTCTTCTGCAGAACTATATTAGTCGTTTTTATCTTTGCTTGATGTTATTACTGTTATTACTCTTTTTACTGGTGTTTTTTTCTCTTTCTGTGTTGTTGTTTTTTTGTCGGGTGTATTTTATTTTCTGTATGTAGGTTGCTTTATTCCCCTCAGGATCAGTAAAAGGTTAACCGCTTGGTTTTCGTAACTGTAGGGTCAAGGGAAGCAGGAAATTGTTTGCCTTTTAGACCAAGGAAGAAGGTGAGAAGAGAAAAAAGGAAAAGAAATAGAAAAAAAAAAATAGGATATGACGGCCAAATATCCAGTTCCAGAAAAAGAGGTTGTAAACAGTGTTCCAGAGTCCATGAATGGCGCAAAAGGCATTATGAGTGACATTGGTGATGGCGTTATGGGGGAAGATGCTGTAAATCTGTTACCTTTAAAGAATCATACTGACACTGATGAAAAGGTACTGTTGTGTGATGCAAAAAAGAACGGCGATCCCTGCGATCTGGGAGGGGAAGTAGAAACAGAAACAGCTGTAGAAAGAGTAGTGCGAGCAGATGCCTCAACACTAGCTGAAGCTGAGTGTGAGGGTAGCCCTCTTGGCGTCTCTTCAACTGTTATTTCAACAAACTATACCTCATTCTTCTCAACACCTCCAAGTAAAGGTATATTTATAGACCTTATCGATACCTTTATGCAAGCCGGGATAACAGCTTTTACACTATCTGATAATGATAAAGCAGACGGTGATGTCACTGGTGGTGCGAACTCTTCATGGAATGAAAAAATTCGACGTTTTCTCACTATAGATGTGGTTGACCGCTTATGTCATGAAGTGCGCACCGTGTTAGAGGAGGAAAGTACCCTACTAGATATTAACGTGAGTTCTGATGAGACGCTTGTGGTGGTTGGTGATATTCACGGTCACCTTAGTGATATGTTTCGACATGTTCTCTCTCAACAGTTTGACCGGCGTATGAATGTGAGTGGAGTGGACCGCAAGTTTCTTTTTCTCGGTGACTACGTGGACCGTGGGCCGTGCGGTGTGGAAGTGGTAATGCTGTTGCTCGCCCTTAAGGTGGAGTACCCGCAGCTTGTTTACATGACTCGTGGGAATCACGAAGTTCCTCACACCTCTCGCATCTACGGTTTCTACAGTGAAGTGCAGCTTAAGTTTGGGGGTGATGCGGCGTGGGTGCGCTTTAATGAAGTCTTTTGTTTTCTCCCACTTGCTGCAGTGGTTTCAACACCAACGCGCCGCTTCTTCGCTGTCCACGGTGGTTTGTCGCCGCCACTCGCACAGTCCACCGTCGACCTCATCACTGGTATTGAGCGCTGTGACTACGGCAGTGCACTCGATAATGTCTTCAGCGATGTTGTCGATGGATTATTGTGGTCAGACCCAGGTGACACCTCCACTCCATACTCCCGCAACGTGCGTGGGTGTGGATATATATTCGGCGACAATGCCAGTCGCGATTTCTGCGAGCGGAATAATTTTGATTTCATCTGCAGAGCGCACCAAGTGGTCTCAGATGGGTACGCCTGGACACACAACGACAGGGTGCTTACAGTGTTCTCTGTGCCAAACTACTGTGGTTTCAATAATAACTTAGGCGCCATCATGATAGTACAGCCATCTACTACTGATGTTGCTACAGCCCCTGAAGTGGGGGATGATAATGATGGTGATTATGATAATAACGATAAGGGTAAGAATACTATTAAGGTTCATGATGATGATGATGATGATGATCATAATGGTGGCCATGATGATGAGGGTGGCAAAAATAACAATGAGGGTGATAATGACAATAGAAACCGTTGTAATGGAAATAGGGATTATGGGGATCTGCGTTTTATTCAATTTGCATCCACCTCAGAGAGAAGTCCACCTTCAATACCTTCATTATTTTTAGCCCCTTTACCGAAACCATGTGGAGATTTCGTGTTTGCTGAGTTCACAGAATAACAACAACAACAAAATACGCGTGTGTATGTGTCATATATATATATATATATATATATATATATATATGGAAAGAATGTGAGAGAAACGAAGAGATAGGGAGAATATTCGAATTTTGTAACTATTTTTTTTCTTCTTCTGCTTGTATCCGTTTTGGTATAGTACGGTCGGTATATTAACTGTGAAGAAAACGATGAAATAAAGGGAAAACAAAAGGATAGGAAACAACATAAAGGAGGAATCTCATCGCATTTTTGTTTCTCTTATGGTTTCTTCTGGTTAATTCTCGTTTTTCTCATTTTTTTTTTTTTTTTGTGTCTGTGTATGTGTACGGGTTTTATGAGCTGACTCTTTCGTTCTCGAGAACTTTTTCGTGCTCATACGCTCTTGTACGTGTGCTGATGTATGACACGTGAAACTCAACAATTACTTATGCATTTGTAACCTTTTTTTTTCTCTGTTTTATTGGGTGTATTGTTTTACGGAAAATACAGTAGAGGAGGGTTCCTGTGCTACAACCATCATTTTCTTGCAGTGAAATTGTTCTTTTTTTGTTGAAGGTGATTCAACTTTTTTCTTCTTCATTTCTATCTTTTTTTTTTTTTGATTTTCCCCCCTTTTTTCAGTTTTAAGAAAATAACATCTCCTGTATACTTGTTTTTTCGTTTTTGATTTTTCTTTCTTTCTTATACTGAAGTTGTTTAAATGGGTTTAAGTTATTCTTTTGACAGGTAAATTATTATTTGCGTCGGTTATGTTAATCTTGCTATCATGGGATGGCAGTGGCTTGTATGCCATTGATAAGGTGAGAAAATGGCGTCATTTGGATCTCTCGAGGGGCGTTTAGTGGAGTTTATACCCCGCACGAATCGAATAGATTTTGTTCTGTGTATTTTATAAGTTTTCTGGGGGATGCCAGTTCCTTTTGCGGATATTCATTCTGGGTGAAATTCCACAAAATACCTTGCTAACTCTAAACATAACAACTTTCTGATAACGCAATCATGTACGGCGTGGGCGATTGATGGTAATATTGATAACACAAGTAATGTACACTTTGCATGCAGTAGTGTTTTATGCTGAGAACAAGTGTGTATGATGGTCAGAGAAAATGTACAATGCAAAAATGAATTTGCAACAATATGATACTGGGGAATATCTCCTCGTTTCTTAATGAATATTGCTGTTGCAATGTATTTAAACGGAATCTATATGGTTTCGTTTTTTTTTTTAATTATTATGAAATCTATTGTGTTTTGAAGTGGGCGAAAGACATTGACAAAACTATTCCCCCATCACTGCGTCTCGTGATGACTTCCTTGTGGAGTCAAGTGACGTTGATGTGAGGTATGGAATCAAATAAAGAAAGAAATAAAAAAACAAAAAAACCAACAATAAAGTAAAATAAAGAGAGGAGTTTTCCCTAGAAAAGAAAGACAAAAAAAGAAAAAAAAAAACGTATTTGCCATACTTTCTATGCCGTTCTCTCCTCCTCCTCCTCCTCTTTATTCCTCTTTCTTTCTCTCCATATATATATATATATATATATATACGTATATATACGTTCCTGAAGGCTATGCAGGACCAAATTCAAAAATTGCTGCTGATGGGCCCCGGCGGGGCGGGCAAGACGTGCATGCGGAGTATCATCTTCGACAATTATCTCCCACGCGATGCCCTGCGGCTCGGCATCACCATTTCCCTCGACCAGAGCCAAGTGCGTGTGTTTAACAATTTATATCTCAATCTGTGGGACTGCGGCGGGCAGCACCGCTACGTGGCGGAGTACCTCGGACGCCAGAAGGAGTACATCTTCCGCAGTGTTGCTGTGATGCTCTTCGTGTTTGATATCAACAGCATGAGCCGCGAGAGCCGCGATGCGTCTAACGGAATGCAAACAGACTGGAGTCGACCAGAGATGCTAGACTACTTTCAATCTGCCATGTGCTACATCACACAGTATAGCCCAAACGCCAAGGTTTTTGTGCTGCTGCACAAGATGGATCTCATCGCAAAAGATCAGCGCGATAAAATATTTGAATCACGAAAGGCGGAGATCCTCGCATGCCTGGATGATAATGTGGTGACAGGAAACATTCAGTTCTTTGCTACTAGCATATGGTCTGACTCACTTTATCTTGCCTATAGCAATGTGGTACGCTCACTCATTCCCCACCGCAATCTATTTATTGCCGAGATGAAAAAGTTACTGCGATGTTGTCATGCAGACGAAGTAGCTCTCTATGAGCGCAGCACATTTCTTTGCCTTGCACATGTCAGTCGCAAGAATATCAACGATAGCAACAATTGCACCAACGGCGACGAAGAAGAAAATGGACAACTTTTATTGCAAGATAGTGAGCAACGAACGACGGAGGTTAGCGAGACAGTGAAACACTTCAAGTTGAGCTGTATGAATAACACGACAAGCCTAGATGGATTTCAGATTGCAACAGAAACCTTTACTGCACTACTACATCCTTTTACAAGTTGTACACATGTGTTAATTGTGTCATCAGATCCAAGTGTTAATGTGGAGCTTCACAAATGTAATGTGAGGTCAGCGCAGCGTGCATTTGAGTTGTTTCTCCGTTCAGGTGATAGCACTGCAGAAGAAATGCGTCAAGTATTGTAACATCTCACAAGCTTCTGTTTCGTGTCATACATCTCAGCTATACATATATTATCATTCAGTTTTAATTTTTACCTCTGCAGGTTCTTCTTAATTATGACTAATACTAGTACTACTAGTACTACTACCTGATTTTGTTTCTAGGTGCTACAACTGCCTCTCTTGCTCTTTTTTTTTTCTTCTCTTTTTATTTTATTTTTTTTTCCCCTCAATCCAGCGGTAAACGAAGGGGCGTTTCTTTATTTTTCTTCACTTTGAGAAAAAGTATAGAAAGAGATGCCTCAACCGTCCATAGTCATCGGTCACACTGTCAAGTCGCCCTTACTTGTTTCTATTGGCGTTGATGGCAGATGGTTGGCATACGAATGCGATATAAACATGATAGCGGTGTGTAGATTGAGGGATGATGACGCCGGCAATATGTCTGAATACAACATGGATTTCATAGATAGAACACATATAGTTTCTTTAACAAACAGTGAAACGTTGTCTGTTATTCACTTACATCAAAAGAAAGACCTTTTATGTGTAGGGACCGCACATAGCGGACTCTACCTTACTTCCGCTTCTAATCCAATATTTAGCAACAGTAATAGCAAGAACAACAATATTGACAGAAACGATAATGGTTCAGCTTATATCACCACCAACACCACCGTTACAAAGTTACCACTGCGTCTTACAGGTGAAAATATTTTTGCAGTCTGTTTTATTGATGCCTTTGATAGAGAATCCGATGTCTTAGTGATATCATGTGGTTTAGAATCTGTTATGCGAGATCGTTTCAGAGTTTGCCTTTGGGATGTACAGAGCAAATCACTCTTGTGGCGTGGATGTGCAGACGCGTTAGATGTTATTGTACCACTACCAGGTGTATTTGGATTTGCCACATGTTCATCTAAGGAAGTGGCACTATGGACTGTGCAGTGCTCTGCCCCCACCAACAATGATACTCACCGCCTTAGTAGTAGCAATGGAAGTAGCAGCAATAACACGACAATAATGTCAATCAACACACGTAATAAAAGTGATGGTATTGGTAATACTGCAAGGTCTGAGGAGACTGGAAATGGAACTCTAACGGTTTTAAGTAAACCTTGTAGTAGTGTTAATGAACTTCGTGATGCTGAGTTTGTCTCAATTTTACCACCAGCAACAGCTGCTGATACAACATTGACGGCGTTAACAACTGTTGGTTTTTTGGTTTCTTTTGATCGTTGCAGTGGGGCGCCAGTGAAGTGGATGGATAGCAAAGTTTGCCCCGCAACTGCGGTATACCGCAGCACAACAGACATTATTGTTTGTGGTGCGCTAATTCGATTCTTCTCCACAGAAAAGTGGGAGTTCCGTGGAAAAATAAAGCACAATAATTCTCCAGCTGTTGTAAGTTCATCCTTCTTGAATCGGCTGATGGATTCCTTGTGTACTGGGGCTGCTGTCTCTATCACTGAAAAAACTTGCAATGACAATAAGAATAACCACAATGTTAGCAATGATAGTAATAACAATAGTGGTAGTGAGAGGATTATGCTCTTCTTTAGCGGTGGTGATATGTCACGATACAACATTTTCCGACCAGGAAATGGAACCGGAAAATTATCTTTTCACTGTGTATATCAACAAACACCTGTATTACCAGATGAGGTACCGTTGCGTTGGATTCCTATAGCAACAGATGCTTTCTGTCTGTGGTCTCCGAGATGTTTGCGTTTCTATGACTCTACCCTACGGTTTCAAAGAAGCTTAACTCTTGAGAGCACATGTGTTGCCCATCACCGTGATCTTGGTGTGTTGTTACTGTACGAGTCCTCTACTTATGAGGTAGTTGCCGTCACGCCAAATGTAGAATCTGTGTTGTCTCGTCTTGGTGTTGCAGAACCGCTTATAAGTCTTGTCGTACATGAAGGGGGTCAGTTTGTTGGATTATCTCCTGACAATAGTTTGTTTTACTTTGATGGAGAGTGGAAAGAAGAGGGTAAGGAATTGGTGTTGCGGGTATTGCGTACCACACGACTAACGAATTTTGATGTTCCACTAACACAACTTGTTTCTGTTGAAGGTGCCTTATTTGTTGCATCTTCACATATAGTTTCCAATTTACTGACAGGGGCACATGTAAGATTTAGTACAGATATTACTTCTTTTACTTCTGTCGGTAGCAACTTGTTGGTGACACAGAGTGACTCTTGTGTTGTAGTGGATGCTACTACTTTAAAAGTTATGGGAGATCCACTTGAAGTAACGACAAACCCAAAAGTGGAATCAGATGTAATGACAACAAGATTAAAAGAGGTGGTACCCACACTTAGTGGTGATGTTGTCGCATTACGTAGTGATGGTGAAATCTCTATTCTGCGTCTTGCAGATAGATACCATATGGCGCAAATAAGTACTTCATCTTCTATTAGAGGTAATCAAGCATCTGTTTTTTTGTCTGTGGGTTTCACAACAAATGGTGATAGTCTCGTTTTATCTGACTCTAAGGGTCTTCTTTCCCTGTATAAATTAGGGAGTACAGGAAGAAGTTCCTCTGCTTCCACACGGACATCACGACATGGCCGTGAACACGGCGGTAGTAGACGATCATCATCTTGTGGAGGACCTTCAAGCGTGGAATTGCAGTATCGTTTCAAGGATCTTCATGGTTTTTATGAAACTACTAAACAATCCCACAGTGAACGCCCTAGTAGTCGAAAGAGAGCCAGTTCAGCTACAAATATAAGAAGAGAAGCAATATCATCAACTGGAAATAATGGTAATACTATGTTTGCATTGGAAAAAAAGGATAATACTTACTCTATACAATCAGGACAAGAATACCATTCTCTTCCACCAATGCGGAAATGGGAAAATGACCGTGCCCCGGCAAAGTTACCACGTGTATTTGCTGCTACTGAAGGTGAAGATGTACGTGTATCTGCATCCATGGTGGATGTCTCCGCCCTCACCTCTATAGACTCTAGGGCCGCCTTCAATTTACACACAGTTACTAAAAGTGAGGCAGACTTAACACCTTCTCTAGAGGCTGAAATTACTGCGCAGGAACGTGCAAAGGTTAGATTTGCAGGTGATGTACCCACATACGGTGTACGCAGTCCGGCACGAAAAGGTCAGCCATCGTTGAGTCCCGTAAAGACAACGGAGGATGATGTTGTGAATATTGAATCCATGGAGCGGGAGGAGATGCCGCAGCGGGGACTCCACACCGGCGGGGAGGCGGTTTGTGGGTTCACACCGCCGCGTTCACACTCCGTCGCTTCTGTCGGGTCGAGTTCCGTGCGGGCCTTATCGTTGGAAGTGCGTGATCGATTACGCGAACTTGCCGACGCCTACGAACAGCAACTACTACAACAACCACAAGACGATATGGGTGGCAGCAATGCCGATAGCATAGATGATGAAACAGTGGAGGAGTTATTCACCACAGCGAGTCGATTATTCGCGCGACTGCAGTCACGACAGCAATCACGGCCTGGCAGTGTGGGAAGTGCTGCGAGCGACATGTCTAGTGTCTCGGTTAATATTATGATGGCCGATCTGCAACGTCTACAGCGTCAGAACAGTCGTATTGAGGCACAGAATGAGGAAATACTCGCGAGGTTACGCGCCAAATAAATAACGTTGTGGAAGGAATCAAAAAATGAGGAAAAAGAAAAAAAAAAAATGATACCTGTTTCAACCTCTCTTTCTATTTTACTGTTTTTTTTTTTATATTTCTCCCTTTTATGATGTTATACTTACTTCTGTTGAAAACTTCAACTGCTGTCACTTCGTTTTTTTTTTTTTTTTTTTTTTTTTTTGCGATGCACTTTAGAGGACAAGAAGGAAGTGTGAGATCGTTCACGCTTTCTTTATTATCCCATTACCTCATTTTAATGGGAAATGCACAAATTGTTTATTTCCAAAATACCTAAGAGTGTTCCTTCTGAAGAAGTTGAGAAATTTCTTAAAGACTTGTTTTCTGAGGCAACACATATCCAGCTACTGCAGGGCTCACACAGCGGGGAACACAAGGGCCATGCCTATGCACACTTCACCAATGAAACATCTGCAGTAGAAGCACTTGAGCGAATTAGTAACACATCACCACCTACATTAGACGGTGTGTTAATTCATGTTAAACGTGCCAGTCGTCTTGACGTTGAGGAAGAAAATAGTAAATCTACTCACGATACTAAAACTACGACACGTTTGATATCGTATCCCCTACCGCCACAATTAGCACATTACACATATACTATGTGTGCCTGTTTTTTCTCTACAGTTGTTGATACTCTTGAAGGTGTTGTTGCGCGCTGCCAGATTGAAGATGGTGTCACTGCTGTGGCATTTGAAAAAGAAGAGAACATGATAGCGGCTATGGCGATGCACGCAGGAAGTGCCACGAGGTGTCTGCCGCCACTGTTGCCAGATCTTCTCTCATCACTCGAGACGCGAAAGCGAAGACGAACCCGCACAGAAGAGGTCAGTGAGAAGGAGCACAGAGAGAAGGAATCTCTTGGAAACAATACACGCGATACGAGGGATACGTTTTTAGACTCCTCTGATAAATTGCTGAGGTTGTATAAAAAGGAACGTGGGTTGACCCCGCTTTCGCCGGCACAAGCCTTATTGGCTGTGCGGAATCTGATGGAAGGACGTGGATGTATTGCGGTGAGAGATCGTGAGGGTCACATTGCGGTATTAAACTTACCGGCGCACGTGAGTGCACTCGAATGAGGTTAGAAGGATGACGTGCTTTTCGTTTTTCTTCTTCCAGAGGGTTATTATTATTATTATTATTATTATTATTATTATTATTATTATTATTATTATTTATTTATTTATTTATTTATTTATTTATTTATTTATTTATTTATTTATTTATTTTTTACTGGTATTTGAGGTTTAACAGTACACCCGAGCCAATATTGTATCTAATGTCTCATTCTATTTTGTTTCCTCTTTTTTTTTTTCTTCTATTTTCTTCTTCTCGTTTATATTCGAAAAAATATGTCATTTACAGAATTTCTTCTGTAAGTCAAAGGAGAGCAAAAAGGGAATTATTCATTCCTGTGCTAGCAGAGTGAACTGCTAGCAGTGTGTTGCAGCGCTCAACCCCAAGAAAGGGATAAAGTGAAATAACGAAAAACAAACTTGTTTGCCCCGTCTGCAAACGCACAGAGGTATAATAAAGGAAACAGAAAAATAAAATTAACGAGAAGAAGAAAATAGAAGAAAAAAAAAAAAAGAAAACTGAAAGAAGGAAGAAAGGGACTGTAGTAAAAAGAGGGAAAGGAAGAAAGAAGAAAGAGAGTGAAATAGTGAAGAAAAACTAGTTTTTTTTTTCTTTTTTAAATCTCACAATGGGTAATCCTTGTGAGAATATGAAGTGTGCTTGGTGCTTTGGCTGCAACCGAGAGGCAGATGAAGAAGATGTGAATGTGGAGGTTATTGTACACATGAATGATAGAGAAGCCAATGCTCCATATAACTACCCTAACAACTTCATCAAAACATCTGAATATACCATAATATCATTCTTTCCATTAGCGCTTCTTATGCAGTTTAGAAAAATCAGTAATTTTTACTTTCTAATCTGCATGGCCCTTTCCCTTATCCCTGGCATTGCGCCTGTAAGCCCTGCTACAGCTATAGCACCTCTCGTATTTGTTATTGCAGTGGCACTTGTTAAGGAAGGAGCTGAAGAGTACAGACGTCATCGAGCGGACAGAAAGGCTAATTCTATTGAAGTAGAAGTTCTTCGGAATGGCACTATGGAGAAAGTTGCGAGTCGAGATTTGCATGCAGGAGAGGTAGTTCGTGTTTTTAATGGTGAAGAAGTACGTGCAGACTTGTTCTTATTATCATCCTCTACAGAGGAGGGACAGGTTTTTATAGATACATGCAGTTTAGATGGTGAGATAAGTCTTAAGAGTCGTAGGGCTATTGAACCGACTTGGTCCCTTTGTTCAGTAGAAGCTATACAAGCTGTACAAGTTACTATGCATACAACGTCCCCTGATCCTGGATTGCTTTCATGGACAGGTAAAATTGATTTTAATGGTCAAGAATACGCTGTTGATCTTAATCAGTTTCTTTATCGTGGGTCTGTGCTTCGCAAGACAGACTGGCTTTGGGGATTTGTTATTTATGCTGGTAGAGATACGAAGATGTTTCGAAATTTAAAGAAACGACCCCCAAAATCTTCTGATTTAGATCATAAATTGAACATATTAATTCTTGTAGTGTTTATTCTTCAGAATATATTTCTCATAATAATTTCTTCACTCGCCGTGTGGTGGAATACATATCACCATAATCATTGGTACGTCAGATGGTACTTGGAAGAGTATCGCGATTACGTTGTGTGGTTTCGTCGCTATGTTACATATTTTATTCTTTTTAGTTACCTTATACCAATTTCATTATTTGTGACTATTGAAGTATGTAAAGTCATTCAAGCTCATTGGATGCGACGAGATAATAGGATGATGGAATTGGTAAGTGGAAGATGGCGTCGTTGTAAACCCAATACATCAAATTTAAATGAACAACTCGCAATGGTTCGTTTTATTTTTACCGATAAAACAGGTACTCTGACAGAGAATGTTATGAAATATAAAATGGGTGATATTAAAGGTCATACCATTGGTGGTGATAACTGGGAAAGATCATTACAATTATTAGATCGTCAATCTCCAATACGAGCTGCCGCAGAAGAATATTTTCTTGCCTTATCTCTATGTCACACAATTCAACCATTTCCAGATAGTAATAACCCATTAGGTATTGTTTATGAGGGTAGTTCTCCTGATGAAGTAGCTCTTGTTACAACTGCTGCAGAGCATGGATTTCGTCTTCTTGAACGTACTTCACGAACTATGATAGTAGAAGTAGAAGGAGAAAAACGTACATATGAAATTTTAGCAACACTTGAGTTTACACCTGAAAGAAAAATGATGAGCATTATTGTAAAAGATCGTACTGATCAACGTATTATTCTTTTTACAAAAGGTGCTGATAGTTCATTAAGTCTTCGTCTCTCTGATGATCTTGAGGTACAAGAATATATGAGGAATTTATCTGGTAAATTAGCAGAAATGGGTGAGTATGGTTTACGGACACTTCTTGTAGGATCACGTATTCTTTCACCAGAAGATTTCGAAAATTGGCACAAGGGTTTCATTGAAGCTGGAAAAACACTTGTTAATCGAAGTGAATCAGTTGATAAAGCTTGTTTAGAAATTGAACAACATTTAAAACTTGTTGGTGCGACAGCTATTGAGGATAAACTACAGGAAGATGTACCAGAGACAGTCTCCTTCTTTCTTACAGCAGGAGTTGTGATTTGGATGCTTACAGGTGACAAGCGAGAGACGGCACTGACTATAGCCGCAACCACAACATTGTGTGATCCACGAAAAGACTTTGTGGTGCATATTGACATTGGATCCCGCGAGCCGAGAGATGCGGCGGCGATTGAGAAGGTTGCGGCGGATATACAACAAGTGCAACTGCACGTGGAACGAGGGAGGCGTGAGGGTAAACGCTGCACTTTTGTCATTGATGGTCCTGCACTTGGAGTTGCGATGGCACATCATTTTGAAACGTTCCTGCAAGTTTCGCAAGAAGTGAACTCAGCGGTTTGTTGTCGACTCACACCTTTGCAAAAAGCCAATATTGTACGAATGTTTCAAAAGTCTACAGGAAAGACCGCTATTGCTATTGGTGATGGTGCGAATGATGTATCTATGATCCAAGAGGGTCGTGTTGGCGTTGGAATTATGGGGCTTGAGGGCTCACAAGCTGCACTTGCCGCCGATTATGCGATTCCGCGGTTTAGAAACCTCCGATGTCTTTGTGCCGTTCATGGACGTTACTCACTTTTACGCAATGCCAGTTGTATCATGGTAAGTTTTTACAAAAATATTACTCTCTCTTTTATTCAAGTCATATTTTCTTTTTATTGCGGATATTCAGGACTTACACTATTTGATGGATGGTTGTTAACATTCTATAATGTGGTGCTGACGAGTATTCCACCTTTTTTTATGGGTATATTTGATCAAGATCTTCCAACTGATGCGTTAATAAAGCGTCCAGAACTTTTTGTTCTTCTTTCCCGTGGGCTGTACTTTAATACAAATGTCCTTCTTCGCTGGCTTGCAGAGTGTATATTACATTCAGTGACACTTTACTTTGTTATGCTTCCAACTGCTTTGAGTCTTGATTTTGATGCGACTCGTAATATTTCGGGAAATATGTTAGGAACCATGATGTTATTTATGCTGGTGTGTGTGGTTCTTGGTCGGTTTGGTTTGCAGGTGCGGTGTTGGCGATGGATGCAATATTTGGGAATTGCCCTATCGGCGGTGTTTCTGCTCTGTCTCATGCTTGTATACTCTGCCATCACCCGCATCGGTGAGTCTACACTCTACTGGCAATTCTATATCTTGATGTCAGGTGGAAAGTTTTGGTTATACCTGCTTTTCTTTGTTGGGAGCCTTGTTCTCATTATTGACGTTTCCGTGTTGCACTTTCAAAAGCGATTATTCCCTACTTTGCGTGATACAACAGAGGAGGAGTACTTTGGTATGCTAAAGGCTCAAGCAAAATTCAAGGACCCTCCAGATCGTGATAATAGCGTTGAAGCGGTGTAATCTATATATCTATCTAATATATATATATATATATATATATATATATATATGGTTGGTATTCCTTTACACCAATAACACGATAGCCATATCCCTCTTTATTCTCTCCCCACCTCACTCCTACCCACTTCAGAAAAAAATAAAAATTAATTAATTAAAAAAAAAAAAAAAACGCAAAAGCAAAAGCAAAAAAAAAGAAGAAGAAACGCAAAAAAAAAAAAAGAGTAACGTCCTACCGCAGAATATGGTTAGCAGATTGTTTTCTTTTTTTTCCCTTTTACGCGGATGCAATATAAACTGTGCGTCAAGCAGATACTTTTATATCTAGTGAATTCAATGGTCTGCGATTATTATTATTATTATTATTATTATTATTATTATTATTATTATTATTGGTTTAGTTGTTATTGACTTTTTTTTCCATAGTTTAGGTTTTTTTTTTTGACTTTTTCATTTTTGGTTTTTTTTTTTTTTTTCCTTTTTTCGTCTGTGTGCTCTACAGAATTTCTTCTGGTGTTTCTTTTTCTCTTCTAATTCCAATGTGAATGACTGTGCACAATCTCTTTTCTTTTTTTTTCTCGCTTATATCTGATTGTTCTTGCTTTTCTCGTTCCACGTTCACTTGATACCACCTGTTTTTCTTTCTTCCCTATAACTGAAGGGCTGGCTTTATATATATATATCTGTGTATGACGGTTTGTGTCTATACAAACTATTCAATGATCTTGTCGCTGATTTATTGCTCTTATTGATAGGGACATATTGATTATATGTTCATATGGGTTTGTTTGAGGAATACTGTGTACATGACACTCATTGTGCTAGTCATACTCCATGGTAGAAACAGTTTAGCCGCTGCTGAGGTGAAAAGGGGGAGACGCAATTTGAAAACCCATTTACATTACGAAGGTGAGAAAGTGTGTAGATGGAAAAGAACAAAAAAAAAAAAAAAAACGAAGAAAACAAACAAACAAAAACAAATTCTGAGTGTATGTTTTTTTTTTTTCTCATGTGCATAATGGGAAGGATAAGCAAATGATGCAGAGAGTGAAGGTAAAAGAAATAATTTAATGAAGGGATTCTTCGCCGTGATAAAGTTGCGTTATCATGTGAGATGCGGTGGTAACAGTGGGAACGATCTGCGGTACATTGTATCGCAACTGTACCAGAAGAACGATGTCTAACTACAAGCAAGAAATATATATATATATATTAATTTTTTTTCTTTTTTTTTTCTTGTTTATTGCGCACGTGTGGTGTACTCTGTGTGGAAGAGAAGGGGATAAAGAAAGAAAGAAAGAGAGGATAGGAGAATGCAGCAACTGATGATGATGTTTTGGATATTCCTGCTGTCGTGTACTCCTGAGAAAGAAGGAAAGAGTAAAGTATTGTTTACAGTTTCCTTTTCTTTCTTTCTTTTTTTTTCCCATTCGCATTCTCTTCTGTTGATGATGGCTAGTACTACACTTCTTGTTATTTATAGTCGTTCTTTTTTTTTTTTTCTCTGATGTGTTTTTTTTGTTTCTTTTTTTTTTCTGGATTTGTACTTTACGCTGTTTCACACAATAGCAACCCACTGGCTGTGGGGGCCAGTAAAGAATAAAAAGAAAAAAAAAAAAGCGAGAAAACAGCAGGGAGAAGAAAAGAAAATAACCGTAATATTATAAAGATTAGTTTGATCTGAAGAAAAAAAAAGAAAAAGGAATTAAAGAGAGAAATAAATAGCGGTGGTGATAACATTTTTTTTTTTTTCTTCTTCTTCATTGTGCTTCTTTTCTCTTTGTTGGTATTGGATGTGGGGTTGTCCACAAAAAAGTAATGAGAGATATCTGTATATTCGGGAGAGTTAAGGGGTAAAAGAAAGAAAAAGAGAAAAGAAAGAAAGTGTAAATGTAGTGTCAAAATCCCCTTATACGTGAGAAAAACATCAATTCATCTTTTTTTTTTTTTATTTTTCTTTCCCATTTCATCTTTATTGTGTGAGTGTGCAGTATACTGGGAGTGATATGCTTGCAATCGTCAGGGGAGTTGAAATTAGAAGAGAAGATACTGAGAAGGAAGAATAAATATATGAATACAAGCGAAAAAGAAATAAAGTAACAAACGAAGAAAAAAGAAAAGAAAAAAAAACAAGAGCAAGTGTTATCTCTGTTTTTTATTGTATTTTATTTTTCTTTTTGCATAATTATGGATGTTTCTTCGAGAGAGGTTTTATTTGTATGTACTCTGGGTGAATATACTCCCCTACTGTTGCTATAATTAACACTGATTCCACTGCCATTAGTGCTGCTGTAGTTTATGGCTACATCTGCAGTGATAGAGAAATCACGAAAAAAAAAAAAAAGAAATGCGATATATATATATATATACCTGATTATATCTGAAGACATTGTGAAATCATGATTTTTTTCTTTTTTTTTTTTGCTGTACTTCAATAACTGTATTTCATTTCTTCTCTCTTTTTTTCTTTCCTTTATTTTTTTTCTGTATATATGTATTCTCAAGGGACAGAGCAAGGAGGAAGTAACGAGAAAAGGAGCAAAGAAATAGACAAGAAGGGAAGAAAGAAACAATTTAAAGTATAATGTCATCTGCCACATACGAAGAATATTATCAACAGGCCCTAGAGGATCTTGTCACCATCTGGAGAGAAGATGTCAATCTCAGCAAATTACGAGTGGCACCAACAGGACGGCAGCGGTATGAACAGCTGCTCAGTTCTCTCACATCACTCTATATACAATACCTGCGCACCGTACGCCGACTCGCTCGTGTACACGACGCACAACTGCAACCACAAAAGCGCTACGATGTGCGAACATTACTCGATACTTGTGTAGGGCGTATGTTAGAAATACGAAGTCTCTTAACAGCAAACTGTGGGGAGTTTGTAAAGCTGGATAACGCCATGCTTGATGTAAAAATGACTCCAGAGGAACTTGAAGTTCCTATTCCACGTTATTTTGTTGAGGATAACGCATCTGAGATGCAGGAACGACGTCGTCAAATTGCCTCATTGCAAGCACACTACCAAGAAACAGATGCAGAAGCACCTGTTTCAAAGTTTTTGGCTAACGCTAATAATAAGGCCAACAATACTACAACTAATACTAATACTGCTGCTAGTACTATTGCTGCTGCTGCTACTACTACTAGTACTAATGAGGCTGAAGCAAAGACGATGACGGTAGATGAGGCGATTACAATATTACAAGTAAATGAAAGAGGTCGTCAGGCACGTCAACGTGCCAAATTTCAATTACTAATGTATATGCAGCAAAAACAAGCTTTGCTCCGAGATAATGATTACAACTACGCTACTGGAAAAGAACGTGCGGCAACAGTTGTACAACGAGCTGTTCAAGCATATCTTGCACGCAAGCGAGTGCGGGGTGATCATGCAGAGGAGCTGCAGCTTCTTGGGATGCGGCCTACGGCGGCAATGATGAGTGATGAGCAACAAGTAGCGGCGGCAGCGCGATTGGAAGAGCGAAAGGCTCGTCAACACATGAATGAGGCAAATTACCGACAAAAAGCCATTGAACTTGAAACTCGTATTAAGTCAGAGGAAGGACCAAGAACAATGGAAGAGATGCTAAACGAAGTACTCACTCGCATGGCATATGCACGAATGGAAAGTAAAGATGATTCTCCCTTAACATTCCCTACACCAGAAGAAGGAGGGAGTCGTAAGTATTTGGAATCTTTTAATGCTCCCATGTCTTCTCCTGCGGCTCTTGCAGCTACTGCGGGTCCCACATCTACATTTGATGGAACGAGTACTATTGGTCGTCCAGGCTCCGCAGCCCTACGTTCATCTATGGCAGGAACATTAGATGGACGACCAACAACACGAAAAGGAGGTAGTGTTGCACGACGCAAAGATGAGGAGGAAACTGTACCAGCTATACCTCCTAGTATTTTCTGGGATAATATTAAAGCTGCAGATGAGCGATATTACACTGTATGGAAACCACGTTTTGAAGAAACATACTATAAAGAGGTAGATCTTGATCAAGCAGCGGATGAGAATTTACTTCGTAAACAACTCTTAGAAGGACCACGAGGCATTATGGAGGAGTTACGAAAAGTTGTTGATCAACTCATCATGGTAGAAGTAGAGAATTTAAAGGTACGTCTTGAACAAGAACGTCGTGGTGGTAAAAAAAAGAAGGGTGGAAAAAAGAAAGGACCCAGGAAACCACGAGCACCAAAATTAAAAGACCCAACAAAGGGTGTAAAAATTGAAACATTTATGAATACGGCTGTACGTTTAAATGTACTTCAATTACCAGACCCAAATATTAAATTAGAGGATTATTTGGGTTCAGCTGTAATACATGGATCACCACTGGATGCACTTTTACGTGTGCAAAAACCAGATGAAGAACTTAGAAAGAAATGGCAACGTATTCTTAATAACTGGGATGCAAATGTTGAACAGGTTATGAAAATGAAAAAGGAAGCTTTTCAAAAATTATTTGATAACTATCTACAACAGGCGACATGGTTGAGTGAACCTTCACCAGCACAAGTACGTCAAAGTGTAGCGGAGTATGCTATTCTTCCTCTTGGTTCTCAAGTTATTCATGATCTCGCGCCAAGTGCCAAGACACTACTTCTTTATGGTTTCTCTGGTAGTGGTAAGACACGTCTTGTACAGGCTATTTGTAATCACAGTGGATCAAATTTCTTTGATATTTCTCCTGGAATTTTTGAAACAAATACTGGTCTCGTAGGTATTATTCAAATGGTATTTCACCTTGCAAAAGTAATGGCTCCATCTGTCATTTACATTGATCATATTGAAAAATTGTTCATGCGGAAGAAGAAACGAAAGGGACCTAAAGATCCATTACTAGCCCGTGGAAAAAAAATGAAAAAAGAGGTTCTTAAAGGTATCGCTGGTCTTTCTCCTACAGATCGAGTAATGGTCATTGGAACCTCATCCACTCCATGGGAAGCGGATTTTAATGCGATGGTAACTCACTTTGCACACATGGTTTATTGTGGAAGTCCGGATTACGCCTCTCGTTTGATTGTATTGCAGGAATTCATTGCCCAACGCACAGGAGATGCCACAGCACTGAAGGCGGAGGATTATCACGAGTTGGCACTTCTCACAGAGCGACTCACATGTGGGTCTCTCCGCACGGTTGTGGATGAAGTATTACACCCACGACGCCTGCGACGATTGCCGCAGCGACCACTTGTTGCCGATGACTTTTTGCGTGCCATCACACGAGTGTCACCACCCACAGCAGAGGAAGAGACGCAGATGAAGGAATTCACACAGCGACTTCCACTACACCTTCGCCGTGTAAACCTACCAGTGGATGTACCAGCAGCAGAGAAGAAGGAAACAGGGACCAAGAGAAAGAAAAAGGAATAGAGAGGTAGTGGGAGTGAGGGGTGGAAACAAACAAACAAAAAAAAAAGAGTTTCGGTGTATATATGTGTTTGTGTTTGTGTTTGTGTGTGTGTGTGTATCATCAATGATGTAGCTTAGAGAAGTGAAACATCGAAAGAAAAGATGTACAAATTGCGTTTATTTATTTCTTTCTTTATTGAATTAAAACAACAACAACAACAAAAAAGAAAAAACCTTTTTACTCTCTTGCGGTCAGTGTTGCAAGAGGTAAGGTTTTCTCTTTTTTTTTGGGGGGTGGGCATGAGAATCATTATTGAACCTAAACTTTTCTCCTGATTTTACTTCTTTCTATTGTTCATTATTTTTCATTTCTTTTTTCCTTTTTCTTTTTTCTTTTCTTTTCTTTGTTACATCAGTCGATGGATTTGAATTAGTTTAAAATGTCGATGGAACTTAAAATCACACGCCTTCGTCAACTTCCATTGAACACATTTAGATCCATCACTCTAAATGATACCATTCCAAATGAGAAAAAGGATCGAGATGAATTCCCCTGTGAGAAGCGTCTTTTATTTGACCTCCCATCATTACTGGAAGCACATAAGCGTGGCGTTATACCACACTTGACGGATAACTATTGTATGAACTCTATTCTTATATCTGAGTTATTGCTTCATCAATTAGATAAGAGGAACAAAGACGCACAGAAGGTACTCAGAAAGAATGATTCTTCTACAGATGTTGTGGAAGCACAACGGTTGCGGGACCTGTTGGATTTTATTTTTTTGCATAAGAATGAAAAGTGGATGATATTTCAGCAAAAAGGCGTAAATGAACATAAAGGATTTTTACGTGACCTTGGCTTGGAGAAGGATCTTCTTAACGAGCACCGATATATTAGTTGGGCGCTTTACATGAAAGAGAACAGTTGTGATAATGTTCTGTATATAACAGAAAATGACAAGTTAAGAAAGTGTGCACAAGAGAAAGGTGTTTCTACAACGACGGCTACTGATTTTTTTAAGTAATAATAATAATAATAATATCAGTAATAATAATAATAATATTACTATTACTAATAATAGTGGTTTTTATTATGGTTTGATACTCTTTCTTTTTGGGCTTATTTTCTAACGTATCTTGGCTTTTCTCTCATGTGCTTTGCTTGCCTTTTTTTTCCAAAGTAGAGGGGAATGAAGAACTCATTGTTCCACATTCCAGTCACTGCAGTCGATTGGAGATGTCGTCCATATATGTGTTTCCAACGACTGGATGGAGTGACCGTTGACTCACTTTTCTGCGCAAAGCAATGAGAAGAAGCCGTCAGATAACTTTCCGTTAGGGAATCACAAGTTGTCTCTCTGTCCGTCTGTGTGTAACAGAGAAAAGTAAAAGTTACGGATGGTGGTAGCGGCACGACAGTAAACGACTCTGATTCCCGTGTATATGTTTTTTTTTTTTGTTTTGTTTTTTTTTTGTTTTCTTCCATTCCGTTTTTTCCTTTTTTTTTTCATTCTATCTATCTCTTTGTTTGTGGATACTATGTGTTGTTTTTGGTTTCTCTTTAACTATTACAGCCCCTTTACCCCCAACGAAAAGGGGGCCTTGTAAATTAGATAGACATGAAGTTTCCTTTACTTCCACTGTATATTGATCAATTCACCCCGGGTGATGGGTCTAATACCATTTACCTTCTATCTCATTTCCACACCGATCACATGAAGGGGCTTTCAAATTTCTGGTGTGCTGGTAAAATAATTTGTGATCAAGTAACACGAGCATTACTTATTCATAAGTATGGAGTAAGTATGGAGCAACGAGTGGTATCACCGCCCTTGTTTGTGGCAACAAATTTATTTGAAAAAGTAAAAACAATAACGGAAATACCTTTTTGTAATAAAGATACAAAGAAGGATGAAGTGGAATTAGATGCAGCGGTACAAAACAAAAATAAAGATAATAATGATGATGATAATAACAAATCTCTTTCAAATGTTGCAGATACTGTAACTTTGTATATGTTACCTGCTTTTCATATTCCTGGGAGTGTCATGTTCTTCTTAGAGACACCATTTGGAAATGTTCTTTACACTGGTGATTTTAAATACAATGATCGAGCCAGGCAAGTTTTAGAACCTTTCTTTGCACAACATCGTGTAGATCATGTTTACCTTGATGATACGTGGTTACATTTGGGAGTTCAGGAAACATGTTCCTTAACGCATGGTAACACCGGTACACGAGTGTTGAGTAAGATGCTTTCAGAGAGAGAGTTAGATGAGGCCATTGAGGCACTGGGACGACGAATGGATCAACGTGTGCGTGACTTTTCCTTAGAGAAGAAAGAGATAACGAATACTCCAAAAGGAGGACCGTACGTATTACGAGTGTATCTACACAATCAATTTGGGAAAGAACACCTTGTACAACGACTTGCTAAACGACTTGGGATTATTGCATTTGTGGAAAAGGTGCGTTACGAGCAATTACAATTACTCACTTCTTTTGATACCACCATTGCAGCGGTGGATAAAATGTTTTGTGTTCATATGGATCACTTTGCGCCATATACACATAGTGACTACAACACGACATTTCCCCGAATTGAAGTTGTCTCTTCACTCAAACATATCACTGCTGAGGAACTGCAGACGGCGGCCACGTTAAATGACAATACTCCTCATTACGGTGTGGTGATGTCCGGATGGGCACGTCTTCGATCCCGCAACACCCACGATGAGCCGTGTGTGTGGGAAATACCAACAACTCTGCACTCCACACCGCAGGAAATTATGGACTTTATGGCCTTTTTGCGGCCCCTGTCAGTAACGCCGCTGCACTACAAACCCTGCCGTGGGATGATCGTGATGGAACGTCTTGGGCCGTACTTGAGGCGGCCGTACGTGAATCAGTTCTTGAGTATATCGGATAATGTGCAGGATAATGGGAGAGAATGGCATGATTCCTCACCGCAGCAAAGGAACAATAACAATAATATAGGGGTACAGAAACAATTGTCGTATAAAGTGAAAAGAAGTGGTTTTTGTATACGTTTACCAACGACAGAGAGTTCATCTTTTCATGTGGGTGAGATGACTTCTTCAAACTCCATTTCACCACCAAGGCAAGAGCGGGAGAAGCGGAAAAGAGAAACTGACACATGTTATACATCAGAAGAAGAACAAAAAGAAGAGGTTCTAGATAAATCTTATCTCTCTTCTGGAACGTTGCTATCACAACTAGCCGATCTTCTTGACCTTTGAAAGTAATAATCTCTTTATGGTAATTATTGTCATCTTTTTTTTTGTTTTTCTCTCCCTTTCCATTTCCTTTTTCTTTCTCTCTCTCTCTCTCTCACACACACATGTTATACATATATAAAAGTATATAAGGAGATTTATATACTGTGTTTGTGCAATGATTTTCTTGAGTCTTGCAGAAAGTGGAGACGCAATGAAAGTCCCACTATTTAACGACCGTGTTGATTTCACCTCTATGTTTCTTATTTGGAATTTTATTTCTTCTATTATCATTTTTTTCCTTCTCTTCTCTTTTCTTTTTTTTTTTTTTTCTTTCACTATTATGAACCCTTGTTCAGCAAAGGTTTTTTCTTTCTTTCTTCTTCCTTTTCGTTTTTATTTGTACTTGTACAGGAGCGTCAAAATGTCGGGTGACAAGACTGAGAATGAACTCATGGAGATTGAGGAGGTTGCCGTCTCCGATGGCGGTGCGGCCCGCTTTGCGCCGGTCGAAGTGCAGAGCGGCGAGGAGAAGTATGATGTAGTGTGGCAGGAGACGGCGAAGCTGCTGCGCTTTGACGAGGGAGAGAATCAATGGAAGGAGCGTGGACAGGGTGTAGGAAAGATACTGCGCAAGAAGGATGATAAGGGAAAGTTCATGTTTGTCTTTCGCCGTGAGGGCATTGGCAAATTGGCCGCGCAGCACTTTCTGCTCAAGTCCATGAAGGTTAAACTTCACCCACAGAATGAGAAGGCACTGCTGTGGATGGCACACAAGGACTACACAGATGATGAAGAGGGATTCCCGGAGAATTTTGTGATGCGCTTTCCCAATAAGGAATTGGCGGCAAAGGCTTTAACTGCTTTCCATGATGCCATCGCCGCTTCTTCTGTGTAAGATATGATGTGTGCATTGGGGGGAGGTGGGTGTGGGTTCATCCCCCCTCTTTTTTCTCTCTTTTCTCTTCTTTTTATTTATTTATCTGTTTATGGTTATGTTTGTGTTTCTTGCGCCCTCGTGTATATTGGTGCTTGGTTTAATCTTAGAGTATGTAAATACGGGGGGGCTGAAATAACGTGGAGTATAACTTACTTGTTGTTGTTCTTCTTCTTCTGTATAACGATGATGAGCCTCACAGTGACAATATGAAAACAATAGCTCAACAACAACAACAACGAAAATAAAAAAATAAAAAAAAAATAAACAAATGTGCACACACGCATACATTACAGATATACATACAAAGTTAGAGAAATAAAGTGAGAGAAATGCAGTACTTACACCATTTTTGATTCTTTATTCACTCTTATTTCTTTTTCTTTTTTTCTCACTTCTGTGTTATTGCTATATATAATGATAAAAAAAAAAAAAAACAGTGATCAACATCTATACTATGATGGTAATGAAGAATTGTATCTATAATCGTTTTCTTTTTCTTTTTTTTTCTTTCTTGTTGCTATGCTTCTATATTACCCTAGTGATAGCTTGTACTATTAACTGCATCTCTCTGAAAATCGCAAAGGGAACAGGGTGATACAAGTGGGAATGGACGAGCTTAGTGTTCAGTATGTAAATGTTGCAAATGGGCCGCAGGGTCAACTTCACGATCCGGCGGCTGTTGTAAATTTTGTTGATCAGATGCAAGTAGTAATGGAGCGCAGTTCCGCGCCGAGAAAAAATTTTCTGCTTGATACAACAACTCCACGTGGTGATGTTATCATCACGGAGGCTTCTGCAATGAAACCGGGCAATGGATGGATTACACTTCAAGTAACGGAAGGCATTCGTCGAGGTGTACATGAGTGGTGTGTAAAGATTGAACATCAAGGTGAAACAACAGATGGTAGTGGAATGATGCTTGGAATTGTTCCTAAAAGCTTCGCCAAGTATGATTCCTTTATCTCTCAAGGTGGTGGATGGTGTATAAGTCGTGCAGGTAAATTCTACGGTCACTGGCGACGACAAGATGCAAATGCCAGTGTTGTATTTGGTACTGGTGATCGCGTTATACTTACATTGGATTATGAAGCTTCACGCATGACAGTGCGAGTCGGTGATAAGTCTGTCGTTGGGGAAATAAGCAATCTCGCACCAGAAGTATATCCTGCTGTCTCTCTTCACTACCGTCATCAGTTTGTGCGATTTGAGTATCATAAAGTACATGATCGTCACGCAAAAAAGTTAAACTGGATTGACCGTTTTGCATTCCCACAAGCTTCTGTATATTTACCATTAACACCAGATCAGTTAGATAAGGTGCCATTGGATTCCTACGTGTTTAGTCCTCTTTTTATGGATAAAGAGGGACACAAAACACGTCACAAGTGGCGTCAGACTACTACTACTACTATTACTACCACTATCACTAATGGTAATACGAATACAACTACAGCCAATCCCACAACAACAACTACAACTACTACTACGACGACTACGACGACGACGAATACGGCTACTAATACTACTAATAATACTACTGGTATTACTAGTACTTCTTCTTCTGCTCTCATTTCAGCATCGGGAGCGGGTGTTGTGGATGTTGCTTCATCACAATCAGAGGAGACTGGAGTTTTTTCACAGGAGTATGAGGCGCCCCGTGCGGCAAATGCACGTCTAACAGTAGTGCTTAGGGCTATTCAAGCAGTTCGACGATATTGTAGTGATGGAATCACACCTTCAGAAACGTTTCTTAATCGTGATGTAACAGCTGAAATGTTACGTAGAGATCAGCATGCTCTTTTGAATACTGGTATAAACTCACGTGGTGGAATAGATGCCGCACTTAATTGTGGTGCATTAGTTCTTATTCACATGTTTTCACATGCTAGTATGACAACATCAAGTGTTACGATGTTACCTTTGGTACTTAATCTACAAGAATATCTACGAGGAATCACATTGTTTGGACTTGCAGAGACATCTTCAGCACCGCAAAACTTAGGAACTTCACTTTCTCCAGATGTTGTGCGAATGGCACTGGATAACGTCGTTGCACTCATTGAGAGAGTCCATGGAAATAAGGAGAGTGATAGTGGCCACAACAACAACAACAACAACAACAAGAACAATAATAATAACAACAACAACAACAACCAAAATAGCAATATTGATAATTCTAGTGCTTGCTTAGAGGCTGCACTAGTGGAACTCCTTGTATTGATGGCCCTTCAGTGTGGTACTGTAAGTGAAGTACTTCGTGCTGTACGATATCTTCTTCGTATTCCAAACTATGAAGTTTCTCAGGCGACAAAGTTATGGTTACGGGATAGTGAATTTGCACTAAAGCCCAAATATTACCTTCCTAATATTAATGAAGCTATTGATGCTGTTGAAGAAGATATTGAACAACTCACATTATTTGAACGTGATGTCGGTGCCGCAATTTTATCTGTAGGGTATGATCAAAGTTCCGTTTATATTCACACTATGTATGGTCTTAGTAAACGAAACAATATTGCAGGAGTATATGCACTTGTCTGCACGACATCTGAGCCAAAAGAATGTTGTACGCAATGTTCAAGATCTAGTATTGCTTTTGGTCAAACTGGTACTGTTTTACTTTTAACAGATAATATGATAGCTGCTGGTATTGCTGTTGTGATGTATAATACCGCATTAGAAATTCGTCGTATTGTAAAAGTATCAGATGCCCCACAATGGCCTGTAAATTCTCGCTGCATGTCACTTGTTTCAGGACCAGGAGATCAAATAGTTCTTGTATACAATACTCCTCGTGCTAATTCGGCATCACCTAATGATAATGGGGATGATAATAATGATGTTTTGTCAAGTTCTCCAAATCTTGAAATGCAATTGTTTAATATCAGTAATTTTCCAGAAGTTCAAGAATCTGGTTCCTTACAAATTATACCTCTTGATCGTACACTTCATTCATGTTTATCATTACGTAAGGGTTGTATCATTGACTTTGGTTCTCCAGAAACTTGCTTAACTACTACTGGAGGTCATGTTACGATAGAAGTATGGATTAAAATACTTGAAAAGGATGATACTTCTGTCTTTTACCAACATGGGGATCGTGCCAGTAGTGGTGAAGTCTTTCTTGAGACCACACGAGTTGAGGGTGCATGGCGCATACGCGGCGGCTACCGTCACGACTCCCGTGGGATGTGTGTAGTCTCTGCCCCTGTGGCCCCGGCGTCGGATAATAGTTTTCTGCACGTCGTCTTAGTCTTTGATGGGAATTGGCGATTGTATCTTGACAACGAAGAGGTTTCCCGCACCAAACAAGGGCCACAAGTGTCATTAGAGAATCCTAGACATCGATGGACGGCAGGGAATGATTGTGTGTGTCGAATAGCAGCTTTACGTGTATGGAGAGGAAGTAGATCCTTTTGTGAGATTGTTCGGGATTCACGTAGAATTCTCTCTGGAGATGAACCTGGACTTATCTCTCAATATCTTTTTAATGAGGGAAATGGAAATGTTGTTTATAATCATGTTCGATCGGGACCGGCATTCGGTCGTTATGCTATAATAAAAGGTCATTTTGCCCGTGTAGGGTGTTTTGATCATCCTTTGTTGAGTTCATTACATAATAATATATATTCAGGAGTAACAAATGGAGGAACTTCTGTTGTTGTTAATATTACAAGTGGTGAACTCCCACGATTGGCGAATACCCAATTATTTTTTAATGGAACTCATATTGGAATGGTAGAAAAAAAAGCAGAGGCAATTTCTGGTTTTCCAGAACTAAAACATGTTCGACAAGTAACCTTTTTTAATATCAAAACTGGAAAAAGTGAAAATGGAAGATTTGTACTACGACAACGAACTAAAATGGGTTTTATTGGTTGTGATCGTAGTGGACATTATTGGGAGATATTCCGTACAAAACCAGAGAATGCTGGACCTGCTGAAGGTCTACAACAACAAATATTAGCTACTGGAATGCTCTCTTGTGTATCTGCCCCTTTACAAGAGAAGAGTATAGGAACAACATGGAATAATGGTATAGACTCTCAGTCATATTTCAGTTATGCAAAACCACATGAAAATGGTGGTGGTGGTAATAGTAGTAGTAGAAGTATAAGTTCTTCTGGTTTAATTGATGGTAACAATAAAGGAAGAGTCGTGGTTGATATTCAAGCACCAAGATTATTATTTAATTCTCTAGCGCAATGGTTATTAAGTATTCTTTCTTCTTATGCAGAGACTACTAGTGGGGAATCTGAGTATCAATTGTTTAGTCCACTATTGGATGATGTTAGTGTTAGGTGTGTACAAGAAGTTCAACTTCTCTTACGTGAACACTGTCGTGCTGTTAAAGTTATGAACGCTAGACGTTCAGCTAATTTAAAAGATGATACTTCTGCAAGTATAATCACCACCGCTCTACGAATTCTTATTCGTATTATTAGACGTGTATGTGAATTTAAGTTACATCCAGATTCCATTGCATTATCTGAGATTAGGCAAGTTGATGATATGAGAGGTGTAATGAATGTATTAAATATCATTCAACGTCGACGCAGTGCGGTATGGCAGGAAAACAGTCCATTAATGCAATCAAATACGTCCGCAACAAAAGCAACAACAACACCAACAACAACAACAACATCATCTCCATCATCTGTAGTCACTACTATTAATACTACAGCTCCAGCAAATATTGCCTCAACCCTAAAGAATGGGAAAACAAATCCAACGAATGATTCATTTAGTGAAGTTTTATCCCCTGTATTACAACGAGGAACAAGTCTTCTTGGTGTTCTTGCGGATATTCTTAATGAAGCTGGTTTTAATCTTCCTTCGGAATTGGCTATTCTTGCTTGTGTGATCATTCGTGAGGGAGTAACACTTTTCTTCCCTAGTGCGGCTGTGCGGGCAAAACTGTTACGAGAGATATTGAGTCGTGATCAACAAACCACACCACGTTCGCCAGCCATGAATGTATTACTGGATGCTATTGTAAAAAGTTTTACGGATATTAGCTCTGCAGCGGCTCTTGTGAAATCGATGGATAATAATAATAATAATAATAATAATAATAATAATAATAATAATAACAACAACAATACAAAGGGAAAGGAGGAAGAAGGTATAGATTCTCAAACACAAGAGAAACTTCTGGTAATCAAAACGACTCTCTCTACATTGTTAACAGAGTCTTCACGACAAATGACATCACATGTACCAAATGAACCTCGACAACAACAATTAAGTATTCTTTCTTCCATTTCAGAAGCCATTGGTACACTACAGTTATTACTCATCGGTCAATGTAGTAGTGTGACCATAGGTGACTTAAATGAAACAGGGATGTGTCGGGCGGTAAGTAGTATTTTTGCCCTTCCACTCTCTACAAGTCTTAATCCCATTTTGAAGAACTATTATACAGAATTATTTGATAGTGCTGAGATGACTTTTAAAACGCTACATCAAAGACTCTTTGCATCTCGTGAGAAGAATACAAAAATAGGAAAAGATACTTCATCTAATACAGCAGCAATGGTGATTGATGTTTTGGAATGTTCCTTTGTTGGTTCCCCACTACATACAGCCGTTACGGCTCTTCCTCTTATTATTACACGAGAAGAGTCCGATTGGCTTTTATATAAACTGAATTCTCTTCGTGCAGAATATCATTCACTTCTTACATTGCTTACTGGATATCTTTCAAGAAGTCCACAGAGAACAGATCGTTGGTCGCTTCCTATTCTTGATACCGCACTTACTCTCGCATCATCGTGGATAGCATCTTTTATGTCACTTGGTCAACTTACTTATGGTATATCCGATACAACTTCAGCTTCTTCCCACATATCATCTCATACGAATAATCAAAATATTCTATTACAAGAGATATGTAATAATCCTCTCTTATCAGGAGGAATTCGTTCATCAAATGCGGAAACTACTACTCATTTCTCTTTAATGGACGATTTATATCGCCGTCATCGAGAAAAGTGGGAAGCCATTGCAAATAAAAAAGATCCATTGGCATCCAAGACTCCACCAGATGTTGGAACTCTTATCTCTCTTGCAACAGTTGCTATTATTCATCTTAGTAGTCAACAACTTCAATATATGTCAGAAGAAGAATGTTTTCATCTTTTGGCGAGTACATCATTACAATTAAAAGGCGTAAGGAATGAGTTACTGAATCGTCGATCTCAAGATTCTAAAAACTTTCGACGTTTGATTCGTGATGCCCAGGATAAATGTCAATTATTACTTCGAATGGAAAGAGCCTCCGATGTAGAACATATTTTCTTATCATCTCTTTTTCTTGCCCGCTCATTTGCAGATAAAGTTATCCCTCAGAGGAGTGGTCGTAATATGAGATGGAAAAGAGCATTTGTGATTATGCGATTACGAAAAATGTATCACTATGCCCTTACACATGATTGGTCCGCTCTTCAAGTTGAATCTGCCATTAACTTGGTACAGAAGATTATCCTTTCTTCAGAATTAACAATAACGAAGTTAAAGGAAACTCTTGAAACTCGTGAAAAGATGGCTTCTCAACGTCTTGATGGACTTCGACATATGAAACGTCTCTTTGAAAATGATCCTGTTTCCGCATCTAAATTTGCTTCATTGCTTTTTAATGGTGCCGTTGGTTCACGATTGCATTTTGAAACTGGTATTTCAGGTTGTTTAAGCCAAACTCGATTTGCACTTCGCTGGACAATGTATGAAATTCTCCGACACTTATGTGTTATCACGAAATTATCTACCCCTGTGGGAAACAATAAGAAAATAACAGGAACAAAAGGAGGAGGAGGAGGAGAGGGAGATGATGATGTTGGTAGTGTTGTTGAGAGATCAACGGATAGTGATTCCTTTCATCCTGCGATATTAAGTGAAGTACTTAATAGGAACTGGTTACCCAGAGATTTTTGCTTTCTACAACAACAACATGTAGTAAGAGTAATCTTTCGTAGTTTTTGCACTATTTTTGTTAATGATAATTCAGGTGCATTATGTCAAGAACATGCAACTGAGCGTTTACACCGTCAAGATAGCAGAGGAACACGAAAACAAATACCACTTGGTAAATCCTCTGGTACTGTAGATGATGAAAATAATGAATTAGTTATTCAATTAACTCCTCATGAGAATGCTTTAATGGAATCTCTTAAAGTTCTTAAATCTTTAGGACTTCAATGTGCAGTAGGTTTGGGTAATTCCACAGTGGCCATTAGTGAAAGACGTGGTTGTGCTCTATTCCTTGATTCTCTATTTGAAGAACTTGAATTAGAACTGCACAGTTGTCTACAATATTTGATGCAACCAAATCTTCCTGGCCAAGATCGTGTATTAGAACAAGTAAGTCTTATTTGTACATTTGCTAGTACAATTGCTCAGGCATTTCCAGAAAAATTTTTATGTAATCAACATTCATGTCCACATACATTATTATTGGCATTTAGACTCTGTGTTTGTGCTAATTTCTTAGCAAAAACAAAAACAATTTCTACATCTATGATAAAGAGTCTTGCAGTTCCTAATTTAGTAGAGATGTGTATTCGTACAAGTGTACTTTTACTTCGTTATTGTCATCCTTCAGCTGTTAACCCATTATTTGGGGCAGAAGAAACTATAATGGTAATAAAAGAAATGATTCATACGGAGTGTGAAAAAAGTTTAACACTTGAATTTATTTTTGCTTTTGCGCTTCGATGTGTATCTAGTGGTTCTCTCAGTGATATAGGTGTGCGATGTGCAGATGCATTACATACACTTGTTTGCAAAGCTCCATGGGATGAAGAGTTATGTGAATTACAAGATGCTTTTCTAGATGACCTTATGCATTCAGCAGAGGAAGAAGAAGAAGAAATACGTGCAAAAGAGACTCGATTACTGGTATGGGCTTATGTAATTGGTGGAGTCCCTACAAGTATATTAGGACCAGGTAAAAAGGTTCAAATAAGTGTAGATGATTCCCTTGCTACTATGGAAACTGCATATATTGTGGATTGTCAACAAAAATCAAATGTTGTTACAGTTCTACCAGCATTATCTTATAATCTATTAGAGGAACGTGAAGTAACATTTGAAAGTCTCATTAATGCTTCTCAAGATGAAGTAATTCTTCCAAATTCAAGTGTACTTTTAATTTTTTTAGTACCCGCACTAGAACACCTTTTCTCACTTCCATTAAAAACTTCTCCATCACCTTTTTTATGGGCTGTAATTGCATGTTTTCTGCGAATAACACTGGGAGTATTAAAACAGGATCCTTTTTCAAGTCAAGCATTACTCGAACATGATATTATAAGTCGTGTGAATAATTTTGCTTCTCGTGTAATAGCAAAGGTACCATTACCATTATGTTATTTATATGAAGTTATCCCAATAGTGGTACAACAAATATTACAATTCCCACGAAAAACTTCATTTGATGCCGTTGTACCTTCCTCTTTAACAACTAATGTACAGAATACACTTTCTACAGTTTTATATAATCAACCTACACAAAATGTTGATTTTCATCGTCTCCCACCATTAGGTGTGACGACACCGGTACAAACTATGTTATCTGCTGGGGCGGAGGGTGTGATGAATATATCTGTGGAATCCCGTTCAGAGTCAGATACATTTAGTATGATGCCTTGCATGGCTCACTTTGCACAAGGACATGCGACTACTAGTCTGACTCCTACGGTGTTATGTTTTAGTGGAGCGAAGGATTCTTTAATTGGAACACTTACTTTAAAATCATGTGGAAAAAAAAGTATTATTCCTCAATGGACAGATGGGGTCACACTTGAAGCGAGTGTCATGTTGTATGATCGTCCTTTTCCAGAATTAGGAGAAGCATTTGTGATTCCATCTTCATGGCAACGACCTCGAACCGATTTTACTCTTTTTTCATTATATGAAAAGGGAAAAACGAATACAGTAGTACCTCTTTTAAGTGTAATATTATTAGATAATAGTATTCAATGCTTAATAGAAGAAACACAAAGAGAAGTGGAAGTAGTTTCAACTAAACTATTACGTGAAGATTGGGATCATTGGATTCATATAGCATTAGTAGTAGAAAGTAAAGGTGTAACTTTATATAAAGATGGTGTTGGTACAACAGCCATGTTACCAAAAACGTTTGCTTCTCGTTTGGAAGGTCTTTTACGAACTGGAGGTATTGAACAAGTGGTAATGGGAAATGAAATTCAAGAGTGTCAAAATAGTGTTATGAGTCGAAGCGGCAGTTTAAATATGGCTGAAAATTTAAGAAGTAAGAGAACAAATGAACGTAAAAGTATTAGTAGTGGTAATAATGAAGTTATTGATTCTATGATGGTATGTGTAGATAGTGTTCGTCTTTGGGGATGTGCTCGTACACTTAAAGCACAAAGGACGACAGCTGATATTGTTGCCCGTGAACAATCATTACCTATATTAAGTATTGCAGATGCTTATCATGTATTTTTCCGTTTCGCAGAATCTACAGGGAATGAAACCTTCTCTGAAAATAAAGATTGTATGGGTATACTTTATGGAAATGTACATTGGGCACCATTTCCAGTCTTTTCAGGAACTGTGAATTTAGATAAACCTCCACGTAGTGATATGACAAGTCATGCAGAACTTCCCTTATTTGTTCCCCGACATGAGTTTGAAATGTTCTTTGCAGGATTAGATCGTCCACAATTAATACAGATTGGTAGTGATTACTTACAAAGTATAACGGCACACCTCAGTCGACATTGTGTTTTGGCCGCTATTCGTCAAGCTGTTTCTCCAGCCTATCGTGTTCTGAAAATTGATAGAATTCTTGGGGAAAAGGACTGTAATAATAATAATAATAATAATAATAATAATAATAATGAAAACCCATCATCATCCTCATCCTCATCACAATCTGTATTAGATAAGGCTGTTGTGAATCCTGCGAATATCATTGGAAGTACAGATCTTGTACGACATCTTATTAATTTATTACGATATTCTGATACCGGGGCTATGGATGAGGATACACTGGTGAACATTTCAGAGTTTGTGAAGTTGTGGTTTCTTTCTATTAATTCTAAAAATCAATTGGAATACAGTTTTCAAGAGGCAGTACGTGCTATCAGTGATGCATTATATGATGATACTGAGTCCTTTAGTGTAGAACTTCCACCACTCTCTCACGTTACGGCAGATATTCAATTAGTACCAATTGCCATTCTGAATGGACCTGGAGGGACAATTTCTTTTGATGCAAAGAGTCGTGGTATTGAACACTTAACACTTTTACGTGATCGAAGACAAAAAGTACTTTTAGCTAAATATCCAGATGCTCAAGGTGGATGGCCAGAATTAGAAATTCCAAGTGATATTCTTTGGTTTTACTTAAGACCCATTGTGAGTTCTCGCACCGTGGCTTCTACCCTTACCGTTACCGCCCGATCGGTAAGACCATTTGTAGCCTGTAGTATATTTTCTGTTTTGCGGGATATGTTAACAAGATATGATCGTCTTCATTGTGGTTTACCATATTTTCTGAATACACCATTTTTATCACTCTTAACAGTGCATTCAGGAACGACAAAGTCCTCTGCTTTACCGGCACGTCGTTTGTTAACAGCTGTATTAGAACTCTGGCGTAGTGTACCAAACTTTGCTCAACATGATCAAACACCATTAAAGATATTACTTGCACACTTGAATGTACCATTAATGTCTGTTTTACATCGTGGACAGATATCTTCTAAAGGATCATCTCTACCATCACCTCCACTTGGTTTTTACAATCTTACGGTTCAGAGTTCATTTGAATTATTAGTAGCCGCTATGCGTTTGGAAGCAGCATGGAATAATGTTAATCATGAATATTTTACCCGAAAACGTTGGAAACGTCTTTATTCACTTTGGGAACGTTCTGTAGGTATAGGGACTCCAGTACCACCAACACTTTATAATATGAAAGAGGTTCAGGAACCAACTGTACTAGAACGTGGGTATGTACGGTTAATGACATTACCTTCATCTGGTACACCAATACAACATCGACCTAAAACGACTATATCTCAACGGGGTAATGGTATTTGGTATGCTTGTTGTGATCGTGGTTTAATGTCTGCACGTAGTAGTATTGGTTTTAAAAGAGGAAGATTTTATTTTGAAGTACGTATTCCAGCTAGTGGAGATGCTATATCTGTTGGTGTAGTGACGGAACGTGCCCAACAACACTCTGTATTAACTTCTCAAGGACTTGGACATGATTGTGAATCCTGGGGCTTTGAAAGTTCTCAAATGTGTCGTTTTTATCATGGATTTCGACATGATTTTGCTGTTCGTACAAAATGGAAAGCCTTAGATGTTATTGGTATCTTATTAGATCTAGAAGCTGGAACGTTAGCCTGTATGCATGATGATCGTCAAGTAAGTATGTTTGACAATTTAAAAGTAAATCGTGGTAATAGTTCAAGTACATCCTTTTTTCCTGCAGTTTCTTTTGGTGCTAGTGGTGTAGATGTAAATTTTGGGGCTTCACCGTTTACATGTAGTTTACCACTCGGTTTTCTTCCGGTTGATCCTTTGAATTATATGATATCCCCTACTTCCATGCTATGGACACTACTGGCAGCAGTGGATGTGAGTGAAGTTCTAGCATCCAGCAACAACAATAATACTACTATTACTACTACTACTACTACTACTACTACTACTACTAATAATAATAATAATAATAATAATAATAATAATAATAATAATAGTAATAATAATAGTATCAGTACTAGTAATAATAAAAGTATCAGTCAAATAGAGGAAAACTATAACCTACAACCTAAAAGTAAATTATTACCTAGATTCTTTGAAAAAGCAAATATGGTGGCAAATGCTTACCAATATGGACGTAGTGGTTCATTTAGTGTGAGTCTTCTTCCTTGTGATAATAAGATGAAGATGTCTGTACTTCATGGTAATGAGATTCGGGCTGAGGATGAAACTTGTTTTCTACGAGGAACTGTCTGTGTTCGAATGGGTTGTTGGTACTACGAGGTTGTTGTTCGTGGGGATGCACAGGTGAGTGTTGGTTGGGTAACTTCTACAGCTATTGCCCAGTGGTCTCGCTCCAAGTCATTAGGGGATACACGTGATTCTTGGGTGTTAGAAGTAGGAAGAGCCACCGCACGACACAATAAACATCGACGTAGTGTTGGTGGACAATTATGGAAACATGGAGATGTGATTGGGTGTATGGTGGATTGTAATGCTGGCACGATTGCTTATCGTGTGAATGGGATTCCGGTAAGAGAAGTACATGATACGAAAGGTAATGGAGTGCTCTTTTCAAATGTAAAGTGTACAAATGGATTGATGCCAGTTATTAGTGTAGATCCAAAGAATTCCGCACTGGTTTGTTTTCGTGATGATGAATTATCATTTCAACCTTGTGGTTATCGTGCACTTAGTACAGTCATTCCCTTGAGAACAGCATTAGAACATTACTATACACAAGATGAAAACGTAAAAGAAATTTCAATGAATGGTAGTAATGATACTCTTACCTTCTCACCATCAAAGTCACAACTCTTGTTATCATCACTCTCAACATTAACAGAGTTAAATTTTTATAACCCAATGGCATATTGTCCAGATGAAGCTCTTAAAAAAAGTGGTAATAAATTTCTCTATGATCAATTGGGTGGACGAGAAAAGGCTATAAGTCTTTTTGTTACTTTACAAAATATTACAAGTTTAACAGAGTTTTTAATTCCATATGCACATTGGGCATTATTACATGGGGAATATGATATGTTCCTCACTGGACCTATTTGTCGTTCTCTTAAATCTTGTCGTCACTACACTTTACCAGTTGTACCTTTACGAGTTTTACATAAATTTTCCTTACAAACAAATTCTCCAGGTGAAAATGTAAAGCTTACATTAAACCGACGAAAAGCACTTTCTCTTGTAAAAGATTTAACTGTTCCTTTATCTGAACGTATGCGGGGAAGTTTATTTGGTCAAGTGTATCAACTTTTACATGAGAAGGAGGTTTCTTTTTTCTGTACGGGAAAAAAATTATGGAGTGTAAATTTTCTAGGTGAAGGAGCAGATGATATTGGTGGACCTTACCGTGAAAGTATTACCCAATTATGCTCTGAACTCATGAGTACATCTCTTCCACTTTTTATTCCATGTCCTAATCAAGTAAATGAAATTGGGGGATCTCGTGAAGTGTTTGTAGTACAACCAGAGATTGAATACCCTGTACGACTTACAATGTATCAATTCTTAGGTCGTCTTATTGCGGGTTGTTTACGAAGTGCCGAACCACTTCCTTTATATCTTCCAAGTCGTTTTTGGAAAGCTTTAGTTGGAACTCCAGTAGAGAATGGAGATCTTGAACTCATTGATAAATCTTCTTATCACTCTTATCAGTATATACGAGAACAAACTCGTTCAGATAATGGAGGAGTAGCCATGGCTACAGATGAAGAAATTGCAGAACTCTGTCCAGGAGGATTTTCTGTTGTAGATGATGCGGGAAAAGAGGTAGAACTCTTTCCTGGTGGTAAACAATTACGTGTTTGCCGTTATAATGTAGATATTTTTTTAAATATGATAATGCAATTTAAATTACATACTATGGGAAATGCACAAATAAAGGCTTTAGTTGATGGTTTTCATCAAGTAATACCCATTTATGCAGTTTCACTTTTTAAATGGTATGAATTGGAACGTGTGGTTTGTGGTTTACCAGACTATGATTCAGATAAATTATTAGATGTCGCTCGATATGAGGGAATTGATGCAAAAGATACTCTTATACAAAACCTTCGTCAAGTTTTACGAGAATTTTCTCGTCAAGAACGTGCACTCTTTATGCGTTTTGTGAGTGGGAGAGAGAGACTTCCAACAGGAATGCGAATGCGGGTGATGCTTGATTTTCACTCATGGCGACGTCGACAAGGAAGTAATAGTACTCCTAATGCAATTGGTGTTAGTGGTACTACTAATACTACTAATACTACTCATACTACAGAGAGTGGAGTTGGTACGGGTAGTAACAGTAGTAATAATAGTGTATCTGTTGAAGCCTATGATGATGATAGACTGCCACATTCCTCTACTTGTTTTTATTGGCTTTTCCTTCCAAGATACAGTTCTATACATGTGATGCGGGATCGACTCCTGTTTGCTATTCAGCAGTGTCTTGATATTGATGCGGATTTCCGTGTGCGTGGGGATATGGATGCGCAAAGTGATGTAGAGCCCACATTAACAGTGAATGTGGAAAATGATGATGATGAATTTGAAGACTTTTCGCATCTACGGTAGTTTCTTTTTTTTCGTACATCACATACACACAAACACACAAACACATTCACCTCTCTTTTTCTTTTTTTCGTCTTACTACTATTACTACTACTACTACTATTACCATTACTTCTTTGCTTTTTTTTTCTTTTTTTTTTCTTTGCGTTTTCTTTTTTTTTTTTTTCTTTTTCTATTTACCCCTTGATATTTGTGGTTTGTTAGACTTCGTCATGAGGCTTTACTCCAACACCCAACAACACATGAACATCAGCACTTTTGCAAAGTAATAATACATGTGTTCTCTCTCTCTCTCTCTCTCTTTGTTTTTCTTAATATATATATATATATATTATGTTTCCCCTTCCTCCTTATAATTTACCTGCAATATTTCCCTTTCTTACTCTTTTTTTTTTTCTTCTAACACTCTCTTCTTTTTTTTTTTTCTACTTCTCTTATTAGAATATCTTTTTCTTTATATATATATATATATATATATATATATATTGGTTTTCTTTACCTTGTTTTGTTTTCGTTTGTTTGTTTGTTTGTTTGTTTGTTTGTTTGTTTGTTTGTTTTTCTGTGTTTGTTTCTTCTTTGCATTTCTTCCGCGATGACGTACGCCCCGCCATACTCATCATGGTACCCTCAACCACCACTACCACCACCACAACCACTACAACCACCACTACAACCACTACCACCACAAACACAAACCCCAATCCTCTACCCACAAATACCAACAACAACAACAACAACACCACAACCACAAATACCGACTCAAACCCTTTACCAACAACCACCACTACCACTACAACCATCACAACAACATCCACTCACGAGTACAACGGTGGAACCGGAGACAATTCGCCAGTTTCAGGCGGTGGATCGGTTGAACAGAGGTAAAATAGGAGTTCCAGAGCTTAATACCGCCCTAAGTGCATCTGGTATGAGATTTAGCTACGCCACAACAGAACGATTGCTGCGTATGTACGATGTGGATTATGATGGAGAGATATTTGTAAATGAGTTTCAAATGGTGCTTGAGTACATTCGATACATGGGTGCAGCCTTTCGTCGCAGAGATACAAGTGGTGATGGACGACTTAGTGGCGATGAAGTGCGGGTGGCACTGAAAGAGAGTGGGTATCACCTTAATGATTCTACATTCCAAGTAATGATGCGTAAGTTTGACCGATCGAAACGGGGAAGTCTTGGCTTTGATGATTACATTGAGATTTCCATTTTTTTATCCAATGTATCTAATGCTTTTAATGAGAATGTGCGGACAGACGGTAACGTGATATTTGACTTTGATAAGTTTATTGTGGTTTCTGTTTCGCTGCTGTGAAAAAAAAAAAAGAAGAAAGAAGGCAAAAGGGGGAAAAGATGAGAAAGAAAGAAAGAGGAGTCATCAAATGGAAATGTGAAGCATATTTGTTGATCATTGCAAATCGGGATTATCGTAGACTAGAACGTGCTACTTCAAGCCGAGACTTGTGAAAATTTGTTTTTCTGTTTTTTTTTTTCCCCTTTCTTTCGTTCCTTCTTTCTGGATTTGTGGTTAGGTGAGTGAAGAAATTTTCTCTCTGTAGCTTGTTGTTCTCAGATGATATGTGTTTTTAGTGGCATGAATATATTTTTACTTTGCATTTTGTTGTTACTGCTGTTTTTATTGTAATTTTTTTTTTTTTCCTTTTCTTTTTCTCTCTCTCTCTCTCTGTGTGTGTTTAATACTGCATTCTTAATGCCTTCTTGTGGATGTATACATATACGTGAATTCTTTATTTTCTTTCTCTCTCTCTCTCTCTCTCTCTTTCTTTGTGTTGTTACCTCGGAATTGCTTTTATTTAGGTTTCCCTTTCAGATACAACAAGACACGTTGAAAACAAATAACATACAGAAAAAAAAATATATATATATATATATATATATATATATATAAAGTAACAGATAAAATAAAATGAGGTCAGAGCCAAGGCAACGACGATTTTTGAATGAAATTAACCGTACACCCGGCTCCACGCCAGCAAAACCTTTTCTGAATTCGCAGAGTAGACGCAGGAGCAGCGCCTCTATGCCAAATCGATCACGTATGATCGTAACAGACTGCCAAAGTGCACGTCAAGAGGAACGTGGACGCGGAAGTATCGGAGGGCCTTCGCACAGTGAATTGTATTCCGAGCCCCGACGCCGCTGCCCGATTCCCGATCCGGGATCATTACAAGCGGATGAACTCCGCGCCATTGGGACTGTGGAGTTGGGGACATTAATTCCAGGATCCGTAACTCTGATGAAACTACATCTACCTATTCTGCAGACGAATTATCCATTTAATATAAACGAGCGACCAGCTCCATTTATTCCAGGCGACGCCGTTACCCTGCAAATGGGACATCATTCTATAAAAATTATGTATGCCCGCGTTGAAGATATGCTCACCGTGCAATCAGCTGGTGGAATGAAACCAAAGTCTAATATATTAATAAAGGAAGATTCACTAATTGGAGATGTAAAGTATCATCATGTGCAACGCATTACATGTGGCTATCTTACATCTGATCCAAAATTAATCGTGGCACGTCTTACTGGAGATGGTGGACTCGCAGTTCATATTTGTTTCGGTGATAGGGCTCTTCTTACCGCATTTGTAAAGTTTCTTATGGCCCGCTCTCCTGCTCATGTGGAATTGCTGGATGATGGTATTTTCGCCTATTATCAAAAAGAATCTACCACTGGTACACCACGACGCAGCACATCGCACTCTTCACCTCGACCTTCTCTGAGCCAAAATAGGAATGCGGATCCATCAATCACACCTCTTGAGAATAGAAGGGCAGGCAGTGTAACTGAATACTGATCCCATGTGTACATGTGTGCGTGTCTCTGTCTGTCTGTCTGTCTGTCTGTGTTTTTTTTTTTTTTTCCCCATTTATGTTGGGTAGTTCTCTTCTTATGTTGTGACCTTTTATTTTATTTGTATATTGGTTTGGTTCAAAGGGGATTCAGTAGATGTGTGAAAGTTTTGCTTTCTTTTTATTACCCATACACCTGATTTTTTTAAAAAAAATTTGTGTGTATTCTTCATAGTGGTTCGTAGCTTTGTTGAAAGCTATATTTGGGTCTTAATTCGAATGTCCTTTTCCCTCTTTTTTTTGTTTTAATTCCCTTCAGTCCCCTATTTTATTACCCCATTGATGTTTTTACGATCCTCTCATTCTCGGTGTTTTTTTTTTTGGCATTGTTTAAACGGAATCTTTTCTTGTTTTTTGTTTTTTTTTTCACTCTCTTTTTGCAATAGCGGAATGAGATAACAGTTATCTATATGTGAAGAGAATTATCTGTTAAAAAAGAAAAAGAGATTTATCTATGGTAATTCTTCTTACTCCCTTCCTTTCTTTCTTTTTGTTTATATTCTCTTGATTTATTTACAAATCTTCTGCAAAACAGCGGAGGTGGGCTGCTTCTTCTGTATTTGACTCTAGCTATTTCTTTAAAAACTTTTACCATCTTCTCTTTCACTTTTTTTCTTCTTTTTTTTTTTCTTTTCTGTTATTACCGGTATATACCTCTCTCCCCCCCCCTTATCTACATTACCTGAGAGAGAGAGTATCTGTACTAGCACAAGAACTCTCCCTTTTCTCTCTCTCTCCTTCTTTCTCTGTCTGAGTGTGTCCGTATATCGCTCTGCTGTTTACTTCACAAACACACACCTACCCACACAGTCAGACACAGATAGATAGAGATACATACACACTCGTATATATAAACTATACTTGCTTAGCGGTATGAGTCGAGGGACTGGTTACTCTTATCGACAAGATGTTTCTCTACAGGAGTACTTTGAGGCCTGCGCTGGGAGCAGCAGTGGCAGTAGTGTACATGAAAGTGATAGTGCAAGTGATCAGGACTCTCCAAACTACTGGCGCGCCGCCTGCCGCTCTCCACTGCGTGGAAAGGCAAGACTGAAACTCCACCAACGCAACTCTGTACAGCACGCACTGCAGGAGCGGAGAAACTCCATGCGCAGGGGACGTGATGCCGAGACAACAGCGGCGTTATTAGCTAAACCATTACATGTGGCTCCTATTACTCTTAGAAGAGGTGATGGGGAGAGTAGAACAGAGTTTAAAGAGAATGATATCTGTTCAACCGCCATAGAGCGTATTATCTTTGATGTTCTCTGTGCTTTACGTCAGTCACCCAATGAATGTTTTGAAACATCTATTCTAAAAGAGAAGAACAAACCACCAGTGTGGTCACGCCGTAAAGTGGTGATAACGCAAAAATTATGGGAGAATGATGTACCTTTTAGTGTTCGTACACTTGTAGAGAAAATTCTCACTGCCGCAAACCTTGTTGCTCAAGCCCATTGGCAAATAAAAGAACTTGCGACATCTCTCTCTAGAGATGATATTGGAATGTCAGAAGATACCTTTAGTAATTATGGAGAAACTTGCACAGGTGATGATGGACTACTATTAGCATCATCTCTTGTTCTTTCTCGTTTTAGTGCTATTGTACGTTTATTCTTACATAATATCGCAAGTTGGGCTTTGCATATACAAGAAGAAGTGGTCTCTAGAGGTTGTACAGCTATTATACAGAATGATATGCTACAAACTGTAGAAAAGGTTCTTCTACCCATAAAGCGTTGTATTCTTTTAATGGAGGATGCCTGTAGTATTACACATGAGCAACAACAAACAAATAATTCAAATAGTGAAACAAATAATCTTGACACTGTTACTCGTGCTACAGGACTCATAGATTACCTCATTGTACGAATGAGTGTAATGCAGGATAGTAATACCATGGATCTTTACCGTTTCTATATGGTTTTATTAATTTATTGTAGTTGGCCCTATGTACTACTAATGACGTCAGCTATTTTTGGATTTGTAACAGATATTGATGCGAATACATGGCGTTCAAAGATCCCTCGTATTTTTCGTCTCTCCTTCTCACATATACGTGTTAGTGAAAACAATCATTTAGATCGAAAAGAATTGGCTTTACCAACGGACATTCTTTCACTTGTTTTATTATGTGTTGGATACGAAGGTGTGGGGCCGAATGAACAGAGTAAGGAAAGTAAACGGCAGCGATGTGAAAATCGTTCTAGACGTAGAGCTGCATTTGCATCTATGCTTTCTTCGCGAAGTTTTATTCTTCGTAGTTTTGTAGCATTTTCACGTCAAAAGACACTTGTGGGTTGGTGCCGTAAACGAGCCGTAGATCAACGTCCAACTGGTGTTATTGCAAACTCCAATAAAGAAGAATTATGGCGTACAACGTTGAGTGAGTGGCAATCATGGCGATTTTTACAACAGGAAGAGGGACGATCTAATAGATTTACAGATATTGTTTTACCACTTGTACTCTCTAGTCATCTTGAATACAGTCTTAATACATCCTCACAATCAAAAGGTGTCACTTGGGCATTGCAAGTAGATGATAATAAAACACATCATGACATGTTACTTCTAGACACTAGTGAGTTAAAGGGTTTGCCCATTACAGAGTTATGGTTGCATACTTCTTTGCCTGCCGCAAGATGGGTTAGTGTGAGTTTGCTAGTTCCTATAGGACAGGTAGTGCAAAGATTGCATGAGAGACGTCTTGTGGAGTTACTCTCCACTACAGTGGCTCGTCAGCGTATGGGATATTATACTGTAGACAATAATAATAATAATAATGATAATAATAATAATAATAATAATAATAATAATGATAATCATGATAATGATAGTGATGATGGTATGCTAGATATGGAATTGGAGGTAAGTGTGAATGGTGAGGATAACGTTCTTGCGTTTTCACTACGAGATGTTCCACATAAGTTAGGAGGTGAAACTAGTAATAATGGTAGTATGAATCCTTTAAGTAGAACTGCTGTTGATACTCCTGAACGTCTATTAAGATCACATAATGTAACATTTCGTGAGGCAGTTAAATTGATTATTGATGTTGTGCTCTGTAGAGATAGTGAACGGATAGTGTATACATTCTTACATCGTCTGTTTCTCGAACCCCATTGGTGGTTCCGACGAGATGCTGCAGAATACACAAGTAATGGGACAGCCTCTATCTTTATATCTAATACCTTTGCAGATGCACTTCGTGGAAAACCATTGGGCCCATTTGTTCGTCTTGCAGTAGCACCAAAGACCGAATCACAATCTTCACAAAACGCCAATGATGGACATCCTTTTGAAATGTTACGTACCTTCGCGTCCTTTGAACTTATTTTTACATTCCCATGGGATATTGCACTTATACTACTACCATCGGATCTATGTGTGGAGTGGGGAAAAGGAGGGAATATTCAAGAAAAGTACGCCTCTTACTTCTGGAAAAATCGACGACGTAAATTAGAACAACAAGAGAAAGAGAAAGATTATCCAACAAAGGAATTCCAGTTACAACCACAAGACTACTGGAGTTACTGCTTTGGTTACTTGTGCTCACTGTACTATGCCCAGATTTCATTGCGAGAACAGCGAAAACGACTGCAACGAAGAGATGTGGATACATATCACCTCATGTCCGTACTTGGTACGACAGAACAAGGGAAGGCACACGCTGCTCGTATTACGAGAGGACTTGGCAGTGCGTACTTTGAACTTTCCTTCGCCGTGGACTCACTACTTGGTTTCACACAGAATATTGTAAGCATCACTGCACGCGAGATGGAGGAGGAGTTAACACGAATGAACACCTCAGCAGGTTCATGTATTACATTATGCCAGCGATTAGACAGTCGTCTTCTACGTCTACTCTGTGTGTGCTTCCCAGTACAAACACGCTCAGATGCCATAAAGCCGTTGCCAGAGTCCACTTCTATTCGTGAATCCATTACTTTATTACTCACGATAGCTTTAGACCCGGCGAATCTGCCACTTAAACACGTTACCTCTAGAACACAGAATGCAATTGAAGCGCTTGTGACGGTTGTACGTTCACTCCCCATGACATCTGTGCTTCGAGAACATGTTTGGCCGTTGCTGGTGTTGTTGACATTCAATCGTTTCTACGGTGAATGAAGATCCATAGCAGTGCCTCTGTCTTTACCGCTTCTTTTTTATTTTTCTTCTCTTTGTTTCCCTTTTGTCTGTGGTTTTTATTCTTTTGAATATAACTCTCTGCCTATGTTTGTTTGTATACCCGTATCTGTACAGCCATGAGTGTGTGTTCTCCCTTCATTCTCCATGATGTCTTCTCGTTCTCTCATTGTTCACTATTTAGATCAAGGCACCTAGCCCAGGAGCTTCTGTGTGTCTTTGGGTGTGTCTGTGTGTGAAAAACAGAGAGAAAGGGTGTGAATACCATCGAGAAGCGTAAAGCAAAAACAAGAAAAGAAACAAAAAATAAATAAAAAAGGTAAAACAAAACGAAAACAATAAACAAACAAGAAAAAAAATCTTCGATGGCGAGTACACCAATTTTACCAAAACCCAAGAGGGATTCTTTGGTACCCGCAGTGCCGGAAGGCACCTCCTACAGTGTATCGCATGGAGGTTCATTTTGTCAGCAGTTTCGAGCCACATTTAAGCTGAATTTTTTGCACCGACGTCGCTCTCCTGTGAGCAGCATTGTGGAGTTCCTCATTCCTATTATATTTATTGTTGGAACTATCATATTATCCATTTTGATTAAAGACAAATCGTTTGATGGGAAAAACTATGTGGATAATAATGTTACAACAGGATTGGTTGCCATGCAAACCAAACTCTTGTCGAGTCTCTGCTATAATGCTGAAGTGAGTGGTGGTCCCATTGATACTCTTCTTCCCTGCACAGCCGTCGAACCACTGAGATATTGCTTTGGAACTGAAGCTGGTGTACCAATAAATGGCCTATGTCTTGAGACAACGACCAACATGACAACAATTACCGCAATGGCATTTCAGGTTCTTTCAGGCTATGAGAATGCTTTAATGCCGGTTCCATCTTTTGACGATATGGTAAAACTACAATGGGTTGCAAGGGGTATGGCATCAATGATCCCAGGAGCGCATATCTCTGGCAGTATTCTTTCTTCCGGTTGGCTGTACTTTGCCCCACAGAATATATACACAGAGTCTCTGGCGAGTAACTTGAATACAAGTACATCACTCTTCAAATATGTTTTCAATGGTTACTTCAATAATACCGATGAGATGGATAAATATATGCGTGATAATGAAGATACTGTAAGGAGTTGGGGTGTAATTGACCTTGAAAAGGTGACTGCAGATGGCGTTGACCCTTCCTTCGATATTGTATTGCGTCTCAATGCAACGGCTTTGCCACATACATCTCAAGCTGTGGACAGATTTTACTTTGGTGGTCACGATAGTGATGGTTCCAAGTACATTACATCTGGTTTTCTTACTTTGCAAAGTGTGGTGTACAACCACCTTATAACCAAAGTATTGACACTTGAGGCACCATCATTACCATCTATTGCCCCTATGGGAACTATTGCCTTTGTTGAGAATGTATTCTTATCTACAGCTGGAAGCATAGTGCCTCTTATGGTTGTGTTGGGATTTTTATATCCTGTATCACAATGTACCAAACGTATTGTACTTGATAAGGAGTTACGTCTCAAGGAAGCACTACTTATTATGGGACTTCGACAATCTGTACAATACATCGTCTGGTTTCTATTTGCCTGTATACAGTATGCAGTGGTTTCACTTATCATCGCTATATTGATGAAGGTTACCTATATGAAGAAATCAAATTTTGGGGTCCTTTTCTTCTTATTCTTTTTGTTTACAATGACAATTGTGGCCCTTTCAGGACTTATTGCGGCTTTATTTTCTAAAGCCCGTCTCGCATCTATGTTGGCTCCACTTGTATATTTTATACTCGCTGCTCCGCTTTTTGCCATTAGGAGTGCAAGCAGTGCGGTTACATCCGCACTGTGTATATTGTCTCCAACTGCCTTTTCTGTGGGACTAACACTTATGTTTAACCATGAGTTATCCACTGGTTTTCGTACTGAGGATTTTGCAAGTCGCCACGATTCACCAAACATGATATTCGTATTTGGTATGATGGTGATTGATTTAGTTCTTTACTTCTTGTTGATGTTATATTTGGATGCGGTTGTGCCAAACGACTGGGGTACTCCACGGCATCCACTCTTCTGTATTCTTCAACCCATTGCCTACTGCTGTAGACGGAAAAAAGAGTGGACAAGTGAAGAGGATGGCAGAAATCCAAATGGTGTATTTGAACCCTTGACAGAAGAGGAATCCTCAAAAACAGCAGTGAGTTTATGTGGGCTAACGAAAACCTTTAAACGTGGTAAGGAAACCTTTTTGGCAGTAGACCACTTACATTTGAGTCTGGTGGAGGATGAAATTTCTGTTCTGCTAGGTCACAATGGAGCAGGAAAATCAACAACAATGAATATGATGACAGGTATGATTAAACCAGATGGTGGTGATTGTTTTATCTATGGTCATTCTATTCGCAAAAACCTGGGAGCGGCAAGACAAGAGATTGGCTTCTGTCCACAACATAATATTCTCTGGCCTGAACTCACCTGTCGTGAGCACTTGGAGTACTTTTCCAGTATTAAGGGAGTTTGTGGTTCAGAGCAGAAGACAGCTATTGAAACTATGCTTGATGGTGTGGATCTTCAAGAAAAACGTAATTATGCCTCATCTGCGTTATCTGGGGGTCAGAAACGAAAATTGTCTGTTGCCATTGCATTTGTTGGTAATAGTCGTCTTATTTTCTTGGATGAACCAACAGCGGGGATGGATGTTGGGGCTCGACGTCATACATGGGAATTACTTCGTCAAGTTTCAAAAGGTCGAACAATCCTGTTGAGTACACACTTTATGGATGAGGCGGATCTTCTTGGAGATCGAATTGCTATTATGAGTAAAGGCCGTCTACAATGTGCTGGAAGTAGCGTCTTTTTAAAATCAAATCTTGGTGTTGGATATAACATTACAATGTCTATAACCAACCTGGCTGATCGACAAGCCATTACTGCACTTATTCGCTCGTATGTTTCCTCTGCAGAGACATTAAGCAGTACTGCAGGAGAAATCTCGTTTCGTTTACCAATGTCCTATGTTCACGTCTTTGCGAATATGCTTGCGGACATTGAAGACTCAGGAGAAGTTTACGGTATACAGGGATACACGCTCTCTGCGACCACACTGGAGGAGATCTTTCTTCGCATTGCCCATGGTGAGGTGATGGGAGTGGATGCACCACCGCCTTTACCAGCAAGCCAAGAAAGCACGACTTCAATCCACAGGGAAGAAGGGAACCACAATAGTGGCGAAAACGATAACAACAACAGCGGCAGCAGCAACAACCAAAACTACAGTTGTTATGCTGGAGAATCCCCTCCGAGTGGAATACACCCATTCAGCCGTTATAACACTCCGTCTCCATCTCCAACTACAACTACAACTTCACTTTCAGGGAAACTCGGCTCTGTGTGGGATGCCGAACGCATTTCAGATGAGAAGGCACTTATGTCATCTCAATTCAAGGCATCCATGTGGAAACGGTGTCTGAATGCTCTCCGTGATCGACGTACACAGTGTATTCAAGTTATCTTCCCAGTAATTATGATTGTCTTTGCCATGCTTCTCAACATGATAAATTTTACCTCAAACCCATCACTAAGGCTTACCTCAAATATGTACGATGAACAGGTACAAATTGATCTTGCCAATTGCGCAAATCTTTTCAATACCTCAGTTCCATTCGCAAGTGAAGCGAAACTCGTGGTTCACGATGACCTTACCACAGCCACTGAATTATCAAATTACCTCGTTGATAATTATAATGAGCATTCTTTACATCGATTTACATCCATGGCCTGTGGCGCTTCTACTGTTGAACCTACAACTATTTTCTTTAACATGTCTGCACACCATGCACCAGGAGTAGGTATGGTAGGCTATTACGGAGCCATGGTAAAAAATGCATTACCATTGTCAACGACAAAGTACGTTGAAGATATTTTCAACACGAAGAATTTCCCTGTTGTGCGTACCAAGCATGAAGAGGCATTTCGTGATACAATGAAAGCCATGTTAATGGGATTGTTAGTTATGATTCCATTCTCTTTTGTACCATCAACGTTTGTCTCCTGGGTAGTAAAAGAACGTGAATGCAAAGCCCGTCATCTTCAAAATGTCTCAGGACTACGTTTTTCAATCTACTGGCTCTCCAATTATCTCTTTGACTTTTGTTCCTACTTTGTCATGATGATTTTGGTAATCATTGTATTCCTTATCTTTGGGCGGCATGAATATGTTGGATCGGATACTTTTGGACCAACCTTCATTCTTTTCATCACCTATGGACTCTCATGCATTCCCATGTCGTACGCCATTTCGTTTCTATTTAAAGAACATTCAACTGCGCAGAACACAGTGTTACTTGGAAACTTTATTACTGGTTTTTTCCTTGTATTATTGGTTACCATTCTTACCATACTTCCATCTACCCAATCCGCGGGATCAGTCCTTAAGTGGGTATGTCGTATTTTCCCTAGTTACTGCGTTGGTGAGGGTATTGTAAACCTCGCCTCTCTTCCTGGTAAACAGGGATTAGGCAGCAGCATCAGTTCAGCCTGGGATCTTCAAATTGTGGGTTTCCCTATTATTTTCATGGTGGGAGAGGCATTCATCTTCTTTTTGATCACACTCATTGTGGATCACCCAACAAGACGCATGCGAACGGATATGATGCTGCGCCGAAAAAGTCAAGCAGTTGAGGTCTTTACAGACGAAGATGAGGATGTTCAGATGGAGCGTCGTCGTGTAGTGGAGGACCCTAGCAGTGAAGAAGATCTTGTGCGTGTTGTAAATCTTCGCAAGGTGTACGGTAACGGTAAGGTGGCTGTACGGAATATCACGTTTGGTGTCAAGCCTGGTGAGGTGTTTGGTTTCCTGGGCACAAATGGTGCGGGAAAGACCACCACCATTTCTATTCTCTGTCAAGAGATTGTGCCCACCGCTGGACATGCGTTTATTTGCGGTAAGGACACTATGCGTGAATCACGAGAAGCATTACGTTTCATTGGTTACTGTCCACAGTTTGATGCGCTGCTTGATCTTCTTACAGTGCGGGAACACCTTCAGCTCTACGCTGGCATTCGTGGTGTTGTTCAAGCGCAGCGTGCGACGGTGGTGGAGGAACTCATGCAGTTGTGTGAACTCACATCATACGCCAAGACCCGTGCTTCTGCGTTGAGTGGCGGCAATCGCCGTAAGTTGTCTGTTGCGCTTGCGTTGATTGGCGGCCCGCGTGTTGTCTTTTTGGATGAACCCTCCGCCGGGATGGACCCTGTGGCCCGCCGTGGTCTCTGGACGGCTGTGCAGTCCATCGCGAGCAACTGCGCTGTGGTCTTGACAACACACCACTTGGAGGAAGTGGAGGCACTCGCCCACCGTGTGGCCATCATGGTGGACGGCACCCTGCGCTGCATTGGCAACAAGACACATCTCAAGAATAAGTACGGCAGTGGATTTGAAATGACAATTCGCACACATGAGAATGTGCCACGTGAGGAGGTGGATGCCTTCATTCAACGGAGTTTCCCCGCCGCGCAGTTGGATGAGGTGCGAGGCCATCGCTACACGTACGCACTCCCCGCAGGCACGCGGCTGTCGGAGGCGTTTGGTGAACTCGAGCGCCACCGCGAGGAAGTGGGCATCGCCGACTACGCCGTTTCACAGACAAGCATCGAACAGGTCTTTCTGCGCATTAGTGAAGGGGCAGAGGAGGATGAGACACACCAGGAAGAACATTCGCAACAAATGGAAGATCTTCTATAAGAAATGATGAGGAATGAAGGGAAATACTAAAGTGAAGATATACAAGAGAGTGAGAGAGTATGTAATTTACTCCTTTTCTTTTTCTTTTTCCATATTTCTCTCTTTCTGACGTCAAAAACGAAGGTAAAAAATATTAAAAAATGAAAAAGACGGAAAAGGGGTAAAAAGAAGATGTGAGTTTTTTGGTTTTGTTTTATTTATGATAGTAAACCTTAAAGAGAGTTTCTTGTTCCCATTGTTTTTATCGGTTATTTTTTAATTATGTGCTAGCGTTTTTTCTTTTCCATCCCCCGTGTATCTACGTACGTGTTTTAAAACAAATGATAAATGTGTCACACTGTGTAGTCTTATCCGAGCGATTCTACTCATTTGTGATCAAACTAAAAGAAGAAAAAAACTTACGGAAATAAGAATTAGAAATGCATAAGCCTTGCGAGATAGTACTTAATGGTATGATGCTGCTTGTGTTATCGCCGCAGCTTGTTTTCCTCTTGTTTATTTATTT